TTTAAGTAAGTAAGTAAGCAAGGACCCGGTAGAAGGAGAATATCATGCCTGCGGAATTTAAGAACATGGTTTAAGAAAACCTCAACGGTCCGCAGCGAGCAAGGTTATGATTACCAATATGATTTCCAACATCCGAAACGGATAAGAACCAGAAGAAGAAGAAGTAAGTTTATTTGCTAGTATCCCATCAGCTGATTTTTTATACATTTTCTCCAATTCTTCTATTCATCATTTAAATTCACACAAACGTTAGTATTACACAAACCTCTAAGCTATTTTGGAATATTTTTGTTTATAATAAATTTGCTCAGTTTAATATCGATTTAATGCAAAATATTTTCTTTTTTAAAATCTTGAGTAACCAGCTAATCTAAGCGTGAAAACAAATGTGTAAGCTTCATTTGAAAATCACAGCGATTCAGTGCATTTACTCAGTCATGTAAACCATGGCTAATTGAATTACTATCAGCGAGTTGTGCTCCATTGAGCTACATTAAATCAACCGTTTAATAACGTAAGAGCAGGAAGCACGACAGGGGGTTTACACCGGTCCTTTTCGAGGCTCTTCAGCATATTCGTGCATTTTAAGAATCTCTGGAGACATATCTACGAAGAATTTAAAATGAAAATAGAAAGTATGAATTTTATTGTACACTAAGGTGTAAAAATTATTTTGATCGTAATAATTCTTTTATTTAATGGACAATTAGAATAATCTTTTGGACTAAACAAAAATCATCCTTGTTTAATAACAATATTTACATTAACAAATATATCTGGATTTAAATATTATAAAAGGGGAAATAAAAGTAGGTTCTGTAGTAGTACTGTATGCTATCTTGCTTCATCTTCTGTTTGCTGTTTTTCTACTTTGTGGACTGTCTATACAAAAAAATTGAAGAAGATATAGATGACACCAAGTTTGTATTAAGACAAGGACTAAGAACGAAAGAATCTTTGTTTGCTTTTAAAGTACTTGTGCAAAGACGACCAGATATGAACCAGGATCTCTATGTCTGCTTTATAGATTATCAACAGGCTTTTGATAGAGTACGACATTAAAAACTCGTGAAACTGTTAAAAGAAAAGAATATGGATAGGCAAGAACTGATACCAGCAACTATCGACATTTATCATGCAAGAGTCCTGTATAAAGACCGCTGCCATTATTAACATGAAAACTATGCTGTTATGTATTTTTAAATCAACTATAGCTAATTAGGTATATATTGAATGTTTACAAGCATTGTGAACAAAAATAAACATTTAGAAACACAACCCCTAACATAAATCTAGTTCCCCTTATCTCATCAAACTCCTCTTTGTTGTACATTAACCAAAATCATTGTTATCTACACGTGAGGGCTCGTCTTTCTTTAATCCACTTTGCGTGTTGCTAATCTGGAGGATTAAAGTCAACTAAATTATCACGCCTCAACCTTAACCTATATGCCACTAATCATTTCTAGCAGGAACACTTAATTGCCGAAAAACAATGTACATCTGCTCTGTTTATTTTCAAGCTGGTCCGTTTAACTCACCGTCAATATTATGTAGTGGTAGATGGTAGTTATTCTTGGAATCAATTTAAAACTATTGTGAATTATTTTCATCGTTTTTTGACAGGAAGCAATCAAATATTAGAAATAGGTAACATGTACGTGATTAATTACAATGTATAAAGTAAATAGAAAAATCTAATAATAAATTATTATCTAAGATGATAATTCACTACTACTTATTTTACTTGTGAATTAAATCCAACTTTTAATTCCAACTAAGCAGTAACATATTAGATGACTTGATGGTAAACTAAACCTTAACAATCAATCCTATGCTGCAGCTTTGGAGATTATTTTTCTTCTTCTTTATAAAGTGCCCTCTATTCAATGGAGGTTGGCTACTACAATTTTAAAGTCTTCTCTATCTTCAGCTGTTCTTATTAGCTGTTCAAAATTTAGCCCTGTCCATTGTCGGATGTTTCTGAGCCACGATAGTCTTTTCCTTCCTAGGCCTCTCTTTCCCTCGATTTTTCCTTTCACTATAAGTTGGGCATATTGGTACTTATTATTTCTCAGTATGTGGCCTAGGTATGATGTTTTTCTAACTTTTACTGTGTTAAAAAGTTCTCTTTCCTTGCCAATTCTATGCAGTACGTCTTCGTTTGAGATATGCATGAAATTTTGAGTATTCTCCGGTAGATCCACATTTCAAAGGCCTCCAATTTATTTAAGTTGATGTTTTAAGGGTCCACGTTTCAACTGCATATAGAAGAGTCGACCAGACGTAGCATTTGATAAACGTAGTCGAATTTCGAGTTTTATTCGAGAATCACAAAGCAGTTTTTTTATTTTTTCGAAAGATTTTCTGGCCTGTTCTATTCTCGATCTTATTTCTGGATCAGGATTTAGGCTGCTATCGATCCAACATCCCAGGTACTTAAATCTATTGACCTGTTCTAAAATGTGCCCATTTATTGTGCAAGGTTGAGGTACCTTTTGGTTTTTTCGGATTGACATCACTTTGGTTTTTTTAATGTTTATTTTTATACCAAATTTCTCACAGGTCGAGTTGGTCTTGTCGATGAGTCGTTGTAGACCTAAGTCGGAATCCGCAATTAACACTATATCATCGGCGTATCTGATACTGTTGATATTTACGCCATTCACATTGACTCCATCCTTGGAATCCTCCAATGCTTCTTTATTCCAAATAGAAACTCGGAGTAAAGATTAAACAGCAGAGGCGACAAAACACATCCTTGTCTAACTCCCCTCCTAATTTTTACTTCTGCGGATGTGGAACCATCGATCCTAACTCTGACGTTTTGGTTCCAGTATGTTTTTTTAAGAATTTGTTGTCTTTTCTATCTAAACCGACTTCTTGCAAACGTTCTAGTAGTAGGTCGTGTCTTACTCTATCAAATGCTTTTTCGAAGTCTATAAAGCATATAAATATATCTTTCTGTTGGTCGTAACATTTTTGGGCGGGAACTAGTAAACTGAACAGGGCTTCTCTCGTTGCCATGCCGGCTCTGAATCCAAACTGATCGTCTCCGATGATTGTTTCGCACTTTCTATAGATTCGATTATGTACGATTTTTAATAGGAATTTTACTGCATGACTCATAAGGCTTATCAGACGGAACTCATTGCAGTGTTGTGGGTTTGGCTTTTTTGGTAGTGGGATGATTATTGACTCCAGCCAATCTTGGGGTATTTTACTTGTATCATAAATGCGATTGAATAAGAGGTCAAATATTTCGATATTTTCATCGCTGATTAATTTTAACGTTTCTGGGCATATTCCGTCTGGACTTGGGCTTTTATTTGTTTTGAGATGATTAATTGCATTTATGATTTCAGATTTCAGAATTGCTGGCCCTTCGTTGTTATTTTCCAATCTAGGCTCTTCTCGTATGTCGTGAAAAAGAATTTTATTATAGTTTTTCCATTCTTTCAGTTTATCTTCCGCTGATTCTAGCAGTTTGCCATCCGTGTGTAGCATGGTGTGAAAAGTCGTTTTCTTGGTAGTCGATGTAAAGACTTTTACCTTTTTATGTAAATTAAAAAAATCGTGCCTTCGTTGCAGTTCTAGTATTTCAACGCATTTTGTTTCCAGCCATTTCTCTTTTGCTTCGGTTATTTTTTTTTCGAATTATTCTTTTGTATTCTCCGTCCTTGTCATTTTTTCCTTCAGATTCTCTTCGTTTGTTCATTAATTGTAAAATCTCTTCTGTCATCCATTCCTGTTTGTTATTTCTAGGTGTTACTTTTAATGTTTTTCCGTTACATTGTTCATTTGTTCTTTAATAGTTTTCCACAGAACGTTTATGTCATCGTACTCGCTAACGATTATTTTTAATTCCTGCTTATGCTGAAATCCCTAATGAAATTTACGATTCTTAATGGTATTTTTTTTATTTAATTAGATGGCTTTAGTAAAGACCAATTAGCCAGACGATTTTTTGAACTATAATAATTAAAAAAAAAAATTAAAAGAAAACTTATCCTTCTTCACAATAACAATGCTTAAAGTATTAGTAGTCTAAAAGTTAAGTGTGAGCAGTGTATGTTGTGTTTTTTTTTTGTATGTAGAATTTAGTTTTTTATATATATACTTTTATTTTCTATTTTTTTGCTTTTTTTGTTTCTATTTTTATTTGTTCCTTTTATATATATATATATATATATATATATATATATATATTATATATATATATATATATATATATATATTTTTTTTTTGTTACTTCCATATTTCAAAGATTTTTTATGTGACAGTTTAGGTTTAGTTTAGTTTAATTTTAATTCTTCTGCTAATACTTACATATGTATATTACTTTAGCCAATATGGTTAAGTTAATTTTAAGTTTTAATTATTATATCTTTTATTGTATTTTTTATACGGACTTCAAACTTCATGTAAAGTGGTCAATAAACGTTCTATCTATCTATCTATCTATCTATATATATATATATATATATATATATATATATATATATATATATATATATATATATATATATATATATAACACTGTTTTTGATGGGTTGGAGTCAATTTCGATGACATCCCAAATGATTATGGGCAATCCACAGTCAGAATTCTGAAGGAGTGGGCTAGAATTACTTTTATTGACTCCAACCCATCAAAAACAGTGTTATATTTTTTCCAAACGAGTCACAAGTACTTCTTTTTTATATATATAATATATATATATATATTTATTTATTATTTATTTATTTAATATATATTTATTTATTATTATTTTTTTTAATTTTTTCGTCGCCCACTTACAAAATCTAACTAGTTGCAGAATTGCTAACAAAGAGGTGGTTAGATATGTTACTGCCTTGTGTTATCTTTTTTGAAATAGATTTCTAGTTGATGCATTCTACTATAGGTTTTCAACTAATGCATAAATTGATATATAAGAAACGATTTAAAGCAAGGTAAACTCAGCAGGAAATAAGCAAGAAAAACTAATATGGTATTACCTGAAAATCCTAAATAAAAGAGTCCAGCTACTAGTAAAACAAGTCCGATGACACAAACAGCAATTATAACCTTTCTCTTTTTGCTCCTAGTACAGCCATGTTCGTTGGCTTCGGCAGAGGATGGTAAAATTGCCCTAAAATATAAGAAAATTAGATATCCACAGACTGCTTTATTCATACATTCTTTCAGAAACTGTTATTTTAATTAGAGTAAGTATTTAACCATATTGCTTTTCCTTATTCTAGGTAAAAAACACTGATGATAAGCTTTTTAGGCTAAAACCGTTCTGTGATGCAACCAGAAAGAGATTTTAAATTATATACCTTTTATAAAGGATTTTACATAAATTTAAAAATACAGAAACAGCAGACCAAGTAAACAATAGATCAATTAATTAAAAACATTTAAACAACATAAAATAAAGGCGATTGAAGGAATGAGAGCAATGAGCGAGACCGTAAAAACTAAAAGAAATGGAAATAAAATATACAATATTACCCTAAAAGAAGAGCTATTTTTAAATTTGATAGACTTAAAGATCCCGACGTTGCAAATGTATACAGACAGCAAATAAGAGATCAAATAAGAACCGAAAACTTAGAAGAAAAAGAAAACATTAACCAGCTACAGGTAAATATACGAGATTTTGTGGTACACAAATCTATTTATGGAATGGCCACGAATAGAAAGAATGCAGCATAGCAAAAAACCATCAAAGCAGGTTGTACATGGAGAAAAAAGAAGAGTATAGATGTATTAGAAGAAAGGAAAAATTAAATAAAGCATAGCAATAGCAAACAGATCAGTGCAGTCTCCAGAAACATTAAAAAAATATAAATATAAAACGTTAAGTACAAAACCTTAATAGGATCGGTTTTGATATATGGGACTGACACGTGGACCTTATCTTAAAATGATAGAAGACTTCTTAGTATTTTTGAGAGAAAAGTTTTAAGAAAGATTTTTGGGGTCTTAAATGAAAATGGCATCGAAGATACAACTTTAAACTATATCAGTTATATACCTAGATACCACCACATCCAGATATGGTGAAATTCGTTAAGTGCAAAGACTTATATGGGCTGTACATATCGCCAGGACGTCAGATCAAGAATACACGAAGAGATTTACATTTTTAAAAACATAGGGCATAATAAGTAAAAAGAGATGGATTGATGGTATGGAAGAAAACCTACAGATTCTTAGGGTCAGAAGATATAAGGATCTTGCCAGGAATCGACAGAAGTGGCGACTTCTTTGTGAACAGGGCAAGATCCACAAGGAATTGTCGAGCCACTTATGATGATGACGACTTAAAAGCGATTTTAACATAAAGATGAAGGAAAATAAGAATAAAAAGTTTAATGCTAATGCTTTAATGTTGTCTAATGGTTTAATGTTAAAAAAACTAAAATAGTGACGTGCTGCAGTAGAACACTGATTTTTTCATGCATATCAAATGGTTGACTTAAGGATGCATTAGATTTAGTAAATATTTTGTTGTATTTTGTTTACCTGTCTAAAGATTTCTTATCTATTTACAGGTATATTTAAATTAGATAAGGTAGGGTAGGTAAGGAATCAGATTTGCGGCTGGGAAACTTGACAACGCAATTCAAGAATTGAAAAGAATGAAAATAGACCTACCGGGAATCAGCGAAACGAGATGGCCAGAGTCAGAGTCATGTAAAAAGGACAAAAGTGTTATTATTCCGGTAACAGCACAGAAGACCCGCATTACAAAAATGGTCTAGATATATTAGTAACATCAGAACTGAGTAAATATGTGACCAATTTTGTAAAGTCTCGGATAGAATAATATTACTCCAAATAAATACCTAGCCATTTTAAATTAACATACCTCAAATCTATGCCCCGACTGCAGATAGAAAATATGACGATGAAGTCGAGAAATTGTATGATCAGATCCAAGATGTCTTACAGAAACTTAATGAATACGAAATTTTATATATTATAGGCGACTGTAAAAATTGGGGAAGGTCGACTAGGTCAGACTGTAGGTCCTAATGGTCTGGGACAATCTAACGATCAAGAACAGAAATTGTATGAATTTTGTAAGGAAAACGATATGGTCATTGCAAACACCTGGTATAAACTATCCAAGCGATGACTATACACTTGGAAAGCCCCATTTGATGATGGCAATAACCATGGGTCCTCAAAAAATCAAATAGACTATATACTTGTAAATAAGCGTTTCCGCAATGCCATCAAAAAAGTTATTACATTTCCTGGGGCAGACATTAAATCTGACCATAAACCACTTGTAGCAGATATTAAACTAAGGTTAATAAATCTTCATACAACATGGAGTCAGATAAGGTTGCATTTTGTCGCCAACATTGTTCACTGTTTAGTGTGACTAGTTATTTAAAATGGCACTTGGAAGACAACCATATGGATTAAAAATCAACGGGGAACTACTTAATATGATTAGATATGCAGACGATACAGTAATTCTGTCAAATATTATTGACGGTCATCAAATTCTGCTTGATCATATTCACGAGGTAGGAGAGGAAATAGGCATTAAAATAAACTCAAACAAAACCATATTTTGAGTGTTTGGTCGTGACCCACATCCCGATGTAAAGCTTCAATTAAACGGGGCCCAAGTTGAGAAATTTTACAAAATGACATATTTGGGAACTGTGATAACCGACCAACTAGATCCAGACATAGAAATAAAACGTAGAATAGCAATGACTAACACTACTTTTATGAAAATGAAGTCATTTCTTTGCAATATTCATCTCAGTTTAGAACTAAGACAAAGAATGGTTAAGTGCTATATTTGGTCCGTATTTTTGTATGGTGCAGAAGTGTGGATGCTAGAAGTACCGATCATGAACAAAATTGAAATATTGGGAATTGTGGGTTCATAAACGAATGCTAAAGATACCTTGGACATCAAGGAAAACTAATAAAGAAGTACTAAGGAGCGTCAACAAAGATAGAGAACAGCTAAATACTGTTAAACATCGAAAAACGTCTTATCTGGGGCATGTAATAGAGGAAAGTCGATATAAAATATTACAACTGATCCTTAAAGGCAAAATGGAGGGCCGTAGAGGTGTAGGAAGAAAACAAGTTTCTTGGTTAAAAAACATTCGTCGCTGGAGTCAGGTATGGAGTCAGACAACGTTGGATAATTCTGATATGGCATGCGAAGAAGAAGAGTCAGATTATAAAGAATAAACAAGTTAAAAACCAGATAATTTAAAATTAACGAAAGTTTTGTAAATAAATAAAACAAGCTTTTACCAAGATTTAATAATATAAATATTAGTAATATCTTGGTAAAGAAAACTTCTCAAACTATACACGTACATAATAAAGATCGTCTACTCACCCATTTTTCAAATTTTGCATATTATTACACCGTAACGCCACCACAACTATTTAGATTCCCCGGTTGACTGAACTTAGGTGCGAAGTATGTGCTCTTAAAGTTTCTCGGAGATAAGTAGATTCTTTGAAGTAACTACTATAATAATTAATGATACAACGAGAAGCCACAACAAGAGGAGCGCAAGGTGGCGGGTCGAGGGGGACCTACCAGACGCAAGTGCAATTAAATTTTCAGTGTTAACAGGAAAGTACCCGTATGGTGTTTTTCATAATGCGCTTGGCTAGTGTTGGATCTGATGGCAATTTTCGTTAAGAAAACAATTTAAACACAGAGAGCACTGTTTTAAAAAAAAGTTGTAACAAAAGCATAAAAATTAAAAAAAAATTCATAAAACTGTTTTACACCGTTTGAAAATTAGATTCATTCAAATTCATTTAAATTCTATTTTATTGTAGAGAGTGTTTTTTTGGAGGTATAGAAATGTATGTTAATAATTCAAGATTTTATAACTGGGAGCCATTTTGACAGCTGTCAAGTGATTAATGTTTGGTTTGTTTTGACACTTCAGCATGAATGAACTGACGCTTAAACAACGCTTCCAAATTGTGCAAATTTATTTTGAAAATCATGATTCTATTCGAAATATATATAGCGCAGTACGTCCATTATACTGTCAATATAATCGTCCATCAGTGCGATAAATTGGATTAACCATGAAACGTTTTTGCACCACGTTTACTCTAAATGGTAATACGTATCCAAAGATTAACTATCAGTGAATTTTAGTATCATTCACTAAAATGAAGAGTGTTCTGCGGAAGAGATTTGAGCCTTGAAATGAAACTTCGCCTAATGAGATGTTACGTACTTTCTGTGCTGTTCTACGGAATGAAGTCATGGACGTTGAAAAAGATTGATACCAAAAAATTAGAAGCATTTGAATTGTGAATGTATCGCAGAATCCTGAGAATATCATGGACCGAGAGAGTCACAAATGTCGAGGTCTTGAGAAAAATGAATAAAGAACAGTAAGTCATATTTACAATCAAAAAACGAAAATTGCAATACTTGGGACACATTACAAGAGGCGAAAGATATGAACTGCTTCGAATAATTATGCAAGGTAAAATAGTAGGAAAAGGTGCATAGGAAGAAGACGAAACTTCTGGCTAAAGAATCTACGAGAATGGTATAGCTGTAGTAACGACGAATTGTTTCGGTCAGCAGTTTCGAAAATACGTATAGCCCTGATGTTCGCCAACCTTTAGAACGAAGATGGCACTTGAAGAAAAAGAATATCCAAAGAGATATCGTACAGTCCCTACAGAAAAAGATATTGCTGATGTAAAGCGTAGCATAAATAAAGACATTGAGAATACACTATGTGAGAGATTAAAAGTTGCTCTTCAACTATTAGAAACATGATGCAAAAGGTTACTTACTATCTATAAATCCTAAGAAGACAGAAATGGTCCTTTTTACCAGAGAAATAAGAATCACGGGTTTAATACCCCCAAGGATTCCAATCTCTTCTCGATTCAAACCTTTGAGAGGAAGTTAACATGGTTAACACTCAGATAGTAGAGCTAAAAAAACATATATTGCCTAGAAGCAATGTCGACGAACATTCGGACGTACCTGGGGCCCTTCGCCCATGGTAGTAGCCTGAGTTTACACTGCTGTCATTAAAATTGGATGTCAATTAAAAAAAAATCATCCTTGTTTTATTTTCAAGACATAAAAAAAAGGCCAAGGAAAAGTGGTTAGCAGATCAATGCATAGAAATAAAAGAGTATAACAGAAACTAGGACAGCTTTAATATGCATAAAATACAATAAAAGAACTAAAATATACCAATTTTAGCACACTATGGAATACTTAAAGATAATAATGGTAAACGCATTGCTGATATTATAAAATAAACTAAGATTTTGGCAATAACACATAATAAAACTATTCGGCGATGAAAAAATGATACAAGAAGAAGCACATAAACAAACAGAACCGAAAATAATAATGTGTGAATTAGAATAGGTAACTAAAAATTAAAAACCACAAAATCAGTAAACACAGATCAGATACGCACTAAGCTAATATGCATTAACGAAGAAACTGATGGAATAACTGCAGAGATGCTGAAGAGAGGAGGGAAAACAACTAGAGAAGTCCTACATATCCTCATGAACAAAATACTGACCAAAAAAGAAATACCCGATAGATGGAACGATGCGGAGACACTATTAATGTTCAAAAAAGGTGACCGAAAGAACTTAGAAAACTACAGACCTATAACATTATTAAAGGTTGTATTTAAACTACTAAGATCATGAATATCACTAATAGACTATATTACTAATAGATTTATTACCAATAGATCATGAAGAATAGAATATCACTAATAGATCATAAAGATCACTAATAGACTAACAATTAAGCTTGACGAATACCAAGCAAGAGAACAAGCGGGATTCAGAAAGGGTTTTAGTACTAGCGACCATCTGCTAACAGTAAAAATACCGATTGAAAAGTTGAACGAGTATCAAATTTCATTATACATGGCATTCATAGACTTCCGAAAGGCGTTTGACAGCATAGAACATTGGGCAATCAAAAACTCACTACAGAACGGCAGAATTGATTACAGGTACACAGACCTAATAACAAACATATACAAAAATGCGAGTACCACAATAAAATTGACGAACGAACACGCTACAGAACCAATAAAATTCGAAAGAGGATTCCGGCAGGGAGACACAATATCACCAAAATTTTTCAATCAGGCTATGGAAGACATATTTAAAAAATTAGAATGGAATACATACGGAATAAGAATAAATGGAGAGCTCTTGAACCACTTGAGATATGCAGACGATATAGTCCTGATAACAGATGAGAAGGAAAAATTACAGAAGATGGTTGAGGAACTAGATAGAAAAGCGACAGAGGTAGGTCTAGAGATGAACTATAGTAAAACCAAGACTATGACAAACCAAGAAGACCAATCCAACAGAAGAAATGAAAAGAAGAACTAGACAAGCATGGGCCTCATTTGTTAAACTATCATATATTCTAAAAAATAAAAAGTTACCTCAATATATGCGAACGAAAGTATTCAATCAGTGCATTTTACCAGTTATGGACACACATATGGCTTACAAACATGGACTTTCACAAAGGAGAATATCGACAGGATATCCAAAACACAAAGAGCGACGGAAAGACAGATGCTGGGTATCGGTCTTAAAGACAGGAAAAGAAACTCATGGATCAGAGAAAAAACAACTTCGCCGGTCACACTCTCTGACAAAAAGATGAAAAATGGAATAAGCGAATTCTACACTGGAGACCATGGGAAAAGAAAAGAAAAAAGGAAGACCAGAGATGAGATGGCAGTTCTCTTGAGGTCGTCACCTTAAGAGAACGGCAGGAAAGGATTGGATGCAGATCGCCCAAAATAGAGACCAATGGAGATTAACAGGGGAGGCCTATGCCCAAGAGTGGGCGTTTAAGGCTGATTATATAGATAGAACGAAGAAACACTGCATTATACTTTTAGATATATTCAAGAAAGTATATACAGCAGGAGAAATACCCGAATGTTGGTTACTGATCACGTTTGTTACACTACCAAAGTCAGTACATGCGATAGAATACTCGCAGTACAGTGCAATTTCCTTAATAAGCCACACACTTAAGCTATTTTTTAAAACAATACATGGAAGACTATACAAAAAAAAAATAGAAAGAAGATATAGATGACATCCAGTTTGGATTCAGAGGAGCACAAGGAACGGGAGAGGCTCTATTTGCTTGTAACGTTCTCGATCAAAGATGACTTAATATGAACCAGGATCTCTATGTCTGCTTTATAGATTATCAAAAAGCTTTTGATAGAGTACGACATTAGACACTCGTAAAACTGTTAAAAAGAAAAGAATGGGGATAGTCGAGATATATGGGTTATTGATAATTTGTACTGGAATCAAAAAGCAAAGATTAGAATCGAAAATGTTGATACAGAAACTATAAAAAGCAAAAGAGGTATTAGACAGGGTTGCGTGATGTACCTATTGCTATTCAATCTGTAGAGTGAAGCTATTTTTAAAGAAGCAATATCAGAGAAACAACAGGGTATATTAATAAACGAAAAAATCCTGAACAACATAATATTCGTAGACGACACCGCTGTTTTTGCATACAGTCTAGAAGCACTGCACCTCTTAGTAATTAGATTACATTAAGTAAGTATAAAATATGGACTTCAATTGCACGTCAAGAAAAACGTCAAAGTGGATGATTATTTCTAAGCGATATATCATGGGAAAGCTAGATATCGAGGGAAACAAGTAGAAATAGTGAATAACTGCCAATGTCTGGGAACTTGGGTAAATAAAAACAAGGACCAAGATAGAGAAATAAGGACACGCATTTACATGGCAAGACAAGCATTTATAACAATAAAAACAATGTTTGTTAATCGAGACCTTCCTCTGGAGCTGAAGATAAAAGGCTTAAGATGATGCTACGTGTTCTTGACTTTGTTGTATTAAATAGAAAGCTGGACATTAAAAATGGATGGTATAAAGAAGTTAGGATCATTTTAGATATGATGCTATAGAACGATTTTGAAAATATCATGGACCCAACAAATGCACAAGTGTTAAATAAGCTACAAAAGGATTGCGAGGTCATAAAGCATATCAAAACAAGAAAGCTGGAATATTTAGGTCACATTAGTGGCCAAAAGTACGAAATATGAGATACCAAGGCTCATATTGCAAGGTGAAATCAAGAGTGAAAGATACATAGAAAGACGAAGAATTTCTTGGCTAAAAAACCTAAGAGAGTGGTATAGTTGCAGCTCAATAGATCTTTTCAGCGCAGCCGCCAATAAGGTACGGACAGCTGTGATGTTAGTCAACCTCCGACAGGAGAAAGAACTACAAGAAGAAGAAGTTCCATTAACAAAAAGGTAACATTCAACAATAGGCAAAAAATGTTGGCGAGTTTTAAAGAGTTCAATATCATCACGGGTATTTTCCTTAAGAAGATACATCGAAATTATTATTAACATTGAATTTATCGTCCCAAAAAACCCAGTAGAGGAAAATTCATGAAACTACTCGGAAGTAATCAAAAGATATTAAAACAAAATGTACTTGATCTTTTAAAAATTGGACCAGATAAACTTTTAAACCAAAAAATCTCTAGCTAATATTATGTTTAACTCTTTACTAAATATAGTGTGGATTCAATTTTGCTCTTTAAACCTACAATTCGCAATCAAGCAGGATTATTGTTATTAATAATATTCAAAACACTTTTGTAAAATTTTATCAGTTGACTCCGAGTCAGTCCGACACTGTACACTGATTATTCTTCGCGTAGGTGCAAATGACGATCACTACCAATTAACTCATTAAGATCTCAATTATTAAAGAGTTGAATTACACCAATACACCTTAACAGAGACACGTAGTGAATAAACTAAAACATTTCTTTTTAATATTTTTAGCAGATTTGATGTACGTTTTATAATTTTTCTAAAAATAAACCTTACATGTGAGTTTTGCAGCCAGCTAACCAACTGTTTTATTTATATATAGTTTATCGGACAGTATTAGGTTGTGCACTTGAATATTTTAAATATTCAATGGCAAATCGATTAAGGAAAATCGGCAATAAACGTTTTTTATCAGCTTTAATTTATTTTTTAGTTACTGAAAAATTAAAAGCAAATTCATCATTTGCCGTTATATCTTCAAAAAATAATAGTCTACAATAAGAAAACAATGTAAAGATAAAGATAACATTTTTAGAAATGTAGAGCGAGAAATGATCAGGCCATGGAGTTGGGTGTTTACGTTAAAAAAAAAAATAACGTTCTCACTACCCTTTATGCTATGGCATGCTGGACGACCCATACAGTCTGTGTAGTCAACACCCCGAGGGATAAGCGGGAACACAAAGAGTATTAATACTTACATATATACTCACTATACAGAGACTCAGAACAAACAAGGATCGTACAGACATTAGAAAAGAAAGCATGCGAACTATTCAACGGACTAAACAACCATCCAAGCAGTATGTTAAGAGAGCTGACTAATTACAACGCAAATACCAGGACAGTATAGAGAAGACCTAACCAGCAAATAGCCGGATATAGGGTCCCAAACGAATAAATGAAGAATAAGATGGTCGCAAATACATCAAACAAAAGAATGCAGTCATCAGAAAAACAACCACCCAAAAAATATCTACTTTTAGGACTCTGGCGAGAAGATACAGGTGCCAAGGCACTTAGATAAGGACAATATACACCTGGGTGTGTGGAGGCCCTACACACCCTGCAATGCACACCCCAACACACCCTACACCTGTAAGAAATAAAAGGGTAAGAACTGTGCCGGCATTTTATAGTTCCAACGCCACAAGGAAGACCCCACCAAAAAAATTCTCTTAAATTTAGTATGTTAAAATCAAATTTATTTACTAAACGTTTTAACGTAAAAATTCACATTAATTTCCTATATAGAAGGTCCGTCATGCCTTCTATATACCGCTGAGGCGGACTAGGCCCTTAAGGCGGATCAAGTGAATACTGATCCTCTTCGCGAAGCCCGAGCACCGAGGTTATGTGCGGCAAGCATGGGCTCGGTGGTCGGACACATCTCGGGTGCCCAGCCGGCGAGGAGAACAAAATTTATTTTGCCAAATCGGCGGCTGAGCGACCGAGCACACACTCTTTTCCGAACATGGAGTCGCCAACTTAGGCTGGCGACTCCATGGACGGAACACACGCTCTTTTTTCTTTTTTCTTTTAGGGACACAAGTCCCGATGTGAAGTAGAGTAAAATCAATAGAATCAGTAAAGTAAATAGGGAGAAAAGCCTAGATGTGGCTACCCCTACAGATAGGTGGCATAACCACAGTCAATAAAAACAGAGGGTGTCTCATTACCCAGGGCACCTTAAGTAACTTTCAGATTATAAGGCTCCTCACGTAAGTCACACGATGAGGAGGGGTGGAGGAAAAGCCTGGGGGTCAGATAGGTACCACTTCAACTAGTGAAGTGTGACTGGTTTGATCTTCGGACATGTGGATCCCATACTTAGTTTGGTATACAGATGTTCCTAGAAGCAGGGTTGATCACTACGTGTGTGTGTTAATACTCACACGCTTATAAACGCACCTGGCGCATTATAAGAGCCTTCATATTTTATTCTTTTTTAACTTGTCTTGAGTAAAATGTCTTTAATCTTTCCTATCAGCCTCTCTTGGCTAACTCTTCTGACCCCGAACAGCTATTAGGTTTCCGAATGTAGACGGGTCACTATATTTCTTTCTCCTACACTCTCATTCACCAAGTGATTGCTGATTTAATCAATCCCCCACTAACTGACCGACGGCTACGGGCGGATGAGTTAGTAAGTGGTAGGGCACTTTTTTGTCCTGGGGTTGCAAAGCAATTGACAACAAAGGCGGATGAACCTTTTAGAGGTCAACAGCAAGAATATAGCACTACATTAAAGATCCTCAGAAAGCCTTCGCAATGGTGATCGCCAGCGTCGGATAGTTCTGATGTGGCACGCGAAGAAGAAGAAAAATGTATATCTGGAATTTGGCATCTTGGACAGGACATCAATGGTTAAAGGATAGGTTAGATATTGTGGAAAATATTTTGTACTGAAATGGGCATTAGGCATCCATCTTTAATAAGTTTTTGATATAAATCAAATAGTGGTGTCTTATTGATAGGAAACTCTAGCAAGATGTGTATTAAACTTGATATTTGGCCAAACTCACAAACAGGGGAATCAATACAGTTAATTTAAAATAGATGATCTGGCGCCAAACAATGTCCTGTTTGTAACCTAATAATTGTTGTCAGGTGTCTACGGTCTACAAAGTCAAACTTATGAAACTATGGTTTTATAGAGAATTCGCTTTGACATTGTTGATACCACTTTCCCTTTTGTTTAAACTGTTTAAGCGAATCAAGTTTAAATTTATTTATTAGTGTTTGAGTAAGAAATAAAAGATAGTCCATTTTATCAATTTTTATGTTAGCTGGGATGTTTAGGGTTCTACCTATATTCGCCAATTGATCTGCCACAATATTCCCTTTTACTCCTGAGTAGCACTATTTTGTTTGTACTAGACATACGGATTTAACCTACGAGTAAATTTTTACAACAGGAAATATATTGTCATTATTACCTATCAAAAACAAAAACTCTTTGTTCAATGAAAATACGTCATTTATCTACAAAAAGTACATTTATACCCTGAATTAATATTTTTAATTGATTAGTTATAAAATACAAGTGGTTAAGGATCTTATCTTATTACTATAAAAATGACAAGTTGCTTGAGATATATCATACTAACGATATAACTAAGTGGAAATGAAAATTTTATTGAAAAATATGATTAAATTGCTTATTTTATTAGTTGGGTTAGGTTTACAGGTAAGCTTATATTATAATAATATTATTATTTATGTACTTTGTTTATTCCCTAATAACTCTTGTATCTTCTTTTTCTTCTTAGCCTTCTGTCGTCCATGTTTGGACATAGGTCTCTCCCAACTCCTTCCACCGGTTTCTATCCTGAGCAACATGTTTCCAATTTGTTCCGGCTGTTCCGCGAAGCTCCATTTAAGTTTGGCAATTTTTGCTGTTATGTCCTCGACTTTTGTTTTGGATCTTACCCAGTCGTTTCTCTTTTTATCTGACAGTCGTATACCTAACATTGATCTTTCCGTTGTCCTTTCTGTTGTGGCTAGTTTATTCATGTTTGCCTTGGTTAGGGTCCGGGTTTGACATCCATATGTCATGATAGGAAGGATGCCTTGGTTGAACACTTTGCTCCTCAAGTATTGGGGTATTTTGCGGTTCTTAAGTATCCAACTAAGTTTTCCAAATCCTGCCTATGCTAGTCTTGCTCTTCTAGTAATTTCCACACTTTGGTTATCTTTGTCAAGTTTCAGGATTTGGCCTAGGTAGATATATTCCTGAATTTGTACTCCGTCTCATTGCCGTTTATAGTTATATGTCTGGGGTCATCTGTGTTTGTGTCTTGTATCTATATATACAATTTAATATATGAAAAAGCATAATAAAGAAGTATTATTTTAGTTTTGTTTATCTTTGTTATATGATTATGTTTTTGTATTTTCTATTTCATTTTCGTATTTATTTTTTAAATAAGTGATTTGCTTTTTTTACAATTTTTGACGTTCTGTGTCTACTTTTTCGTTATATAGTAATATGTGTTAATGCTTTTTCATAAGAGCATAGCTGATTTGTCAAGTTATCTATTGTTCTGTCTTTATTTGATACCAGAATCCAACTAGACTTAAATGAGAAATATTCAGGTGGTAGAGTTTCTAATATTTTACAAATAAGCAAAATATCTGGTAAGTCGCACTTACAATTATTTCCAGCAACTGCTTTATCTTTGAAAATTTCGCTTTGTAAATTGTTCCAAAGGTTTTTAAGTTTTGATGAATGAGTAGCAATATCGTCATCTGATTGTCTAGTATAACTAAAAAATTGCATACAGATATCATAGGTTTTATCTGTTGCATTACCATTATACAAACGATGCAGCTCCAACCAAACTTCCCTAGCGATCGAAAATCTCATGACTTTTTCTAATGTGCTTTGAGTCATATTTATTGTAAGAACTAATAAGACAGTACTATCTGTTTGATTAAAAAATGCAACATCTTTTTCATACTTGCATTTTTCTTCTTGTGTTGCTCCTTCGAGTAACGACTTAGGAAAAGTTAATCTACCATCACGGACGTCCATCGCACTTTTTACATTTCTCAGAAGAATAGAGATTTTGTATTTCCAAGTGGTCCAACTCTCTTTACCTTCAAGTAATCCTATTTGCACCTTACTGGGATCCATTTTACTCTAGTTTTAATTTAAAATGCTCTTTATTACTTTATGGAGATGACACTTTCCAGACAGTTAAAAATTTTTCTTCAATTCTTACTTAATTTCTTGTATTTTCTAGCATTACCATTTAGGTACTGTACGCTCTGCTACCATGTTAATATTGTTAATAATATTAGATCGTTTAACTAGAAAAAAACTTGTGACTTATTTTATTACAAGGAAGTTTTTTCTAGTTAGACGATCTAATATTATTAACAATATTAACAATATGTACTTTTATTTCGATATGTTTAACCTGCTTCTAACTTCTTTTTCGAATGCAATTTTCAAGTCTCATATATCGTTTTGGTGGTGTGTCTATTGCTCATCTTTAACATCTAAGGTGGAAATATCTAAGTCTTTCTATACATAATTAAGAATGTTAATCTCTCCAGTTTATTTAATATATAACAAATTTCATGTAAGTTATTATTTTTTTAATAAAAATCATTATTTTAGGTTTCGTGTGAAAATCCAATCGTCGATTTACCCAATGGACAAATTAGAGGCCGCCAAGTATCAGCACCAGCTGTAGAGAATTTCAAATATTATGCTTTTCTGGGAATCCCATATGCAGCGCCACCTGTTGGAAAACTGCGATTTCAGGTAAGTGAAGAATCCTTGTTTTCGTTTATTTCTTACACCATAGTCAATAATTTAATTTCAACTAATTAATACGGATTTACTAATTAAATCTACTTTATTTTATATTTTTATATGATTTAAAATATAAATGTTTTGAAGCATTTTTTTAAAATCGCATAATATCCATATCCAAACAAGTATATTTTTTGAATATCTTAAAAACTATAAATGCATCATCATGACCTGGTCCTCCTATCTCTCCCTTGGTCTTTCAGTTGCTGATTTCCATCTGGTGATCTTCTTAATCAGTAGGTCGTTTTTCCTTCTCTCTGTGTCTCAGACATCTCAGCCTCTGTGCTTTAAAAATCTAATTATATCTTTTCTCTTCACTATGTCTCTTAGTTTATGGTGCATTCTTCTTCTCATTTCTCCGTTGTCCATTTTTATCGGGCCCATAATCCGCCTGAGGATTTTCCTTTCGAAAATTCTCAATTTTTCTTCATCTTTTTCCATAAGGCACATTCTCTTAGCTGTGTGCGTAACGTAATCTTTCCTTGTCTCTTCCCATAAGAAATAAATCATCTGCATATGCAACTATTTGAGTTAAGGAGTGGGCTATAGTGCCTTTAATTTTGCTGGTCTTGACTGTTCTTTCTACCGCTATGTTGAATAATGTGGTTGAGAGGAAATCGCCTTGTCGCACTCCTATTTCTATTGCAATTGATGTTGTGCTACCTTCTTCTATCGTTACTTTAGCTCGAGCTCGATCCATGGTTATTTTTGTTAATCTGTAACTTGATTAACATAATTGAGTAACTGGCAATTGCTTCTTTGACAGTTTTCATCTAAAAATTGCGATTGATGAATTCATTGGGCATGTACCACGGTGCATTTGTGATAAAGCGGAAGGTCTTCGATTGGAATCTCTTCAGTATGTCGATATTGTATCTTGACGCAGATCCCTATAGTTGGATCCCATAGCTCCATATTGGCTTTACCACTGACTTTTATACTAGGATTGTCCTCCTAGGAAAATCCTAGCACACTTTAATATGAAATTAATTTTTTTTAACTTACCCTTTTGAAGCTAAAGTACTTTGTAGAAAGTAAACTGCGCAATTTCCCAAACGTAACAATCCTACTTACTAAACGAAATGTTTTCTAGGCACCTCAACCACACAGCAATTGGACGGGAGTTTTTGAAGCCACTGATAACTCGAAGATCTGTATTCAAGTGGGACTGAAACATGCCCATGCTTCAGAAGATTGTTTGTATCTCAACGTTTATTCTCCAGTAAGTATTTGTTCGTATTATAAAACAATAAAATCTTTAAACACAATGAAATATGTATTGGAAGAATCTGAATTAGATAACCTCTAAAAAGTCTAACAGTCTATCTAAATTTCTATTGCCAGTCAATAACTTTTACTCATTTTGGAAACATAAAAGATCAGCACAAATATAGAACAAGATTACACTGACCAATCAAGAAAATTACTAGAGTAATGACTAATGAGAACATATAGGTGATTATAGAAAAAAATTTCTACATAAAAAAAAATTATAAAATTCTTTTGAAAGTAAAAATAAACCTATACGAATGAACGAAATAGGAAGTTGTCAGATATAATTGTAAAAGAAGTATAAAAATTAACTGTTTTTTACTTATCTAACCAATTGGCTGGCTAAATAGGTCTTGAACCCAAAAAAAAAAACTATTCTGATAGGTATTATGTATCTTTATATTATGGTATATCTTTTAGGAATTGTCACCTTCCCAGAAGTTACCAGTCTTGGTCTTTATACACGGAGGAACTTTCAGACGGGGTAGTGCATTTGCAGGCTACAAGGCACCAGCATTTTTAGTCAAAGAGGGCATTATTGTTGTCACTATAAATTACAGACTAGGACCGTTTGGTAATACTTTATTTTTTGTGTTAATCCCAATTAACAAATTCATTTACATGACTCTTTTTATTAGTACTTTTCTTGCATATATAACTCACATTATCTTATAAATTCATTTGCGTTTATTTTTTGACATGTCCAATCACTCGATCGATACAAATTAAATTATATATTAGGACGTTTAACACAAACGCCGCTCTGTTGATGAGGGAATTGGCATATGTCAAATTAATTACAAGTTAGAATATTAATTAGACATTAGTTTAATTAGAGTACAATTACAATAAAATTCGATATTGAGCTGATTAAATATAAGACACAAAATTGTACACTATTCACACGAAATGAAGTGTTTTAAGTGTATTTGGTACTAAAAACAAAGTTCGAAAAGCACTTAAGCAACCATATAAAAACTAGATATTTTTTTTGAACCTATTCTCTATCCTTCCATTGTTGGATATAGGTCTCATCAATTTTTCTCCATCTTTCCCTATATTAAGCTGTTCTCTGCCATGTGGCACCTCCTTGTTTTCTAAGGTCATCTTTCCACCTCATCTGTGGTCTGCCTCTTGATCTCTTTGTATTGTATGGCCGCCACTTTCCGATGGCATTGTTCCATCGTCTTTTGCTGCTTGTTCTATCGAGTCTACTGTCTTTGTTCTGGTTATGATCCACTGGTTACGTTTTCTATCTTTAAGTGATATACCCAACATTTGTCTCTCCATCGCTCTTTGTGCCTTCCTTATCCTATCCAAATTGGCCTGTGTAAATGTCCATGTCTGTGCTCCGTAGGTGAGCACCGGTATTATACAGGAGTTATATGGAGTTATATTATATAACCTTGCTTCGTAACTATAGAGAGATTGTTTGATTTTTTTAGAACGTAAGAAAGTTTGTCGAACGCTGCCCATCCCATTCTTACTCGTCTCGATATTTTGGCTGTTTGATTTTCTCTGTTAGCTCTAATTGCTTGTCCTAAATATATATACTCATTTACCTGTTCTATTTTCTGTTTGTATTTTTATTGCCTCTTCTGTTGATTTTATTATATGTTCGAGGGTCAAGGGAAACAGTTTGGGTGAAATTATATCGCCTTGTCGGACTCCTTATTTAACTTTTATATTATCCGTTATTAATTTGTCGGTATCTTGAATCTATCCTACTATTGACCAGAGCTTCTTGCACCGCCCAGTGTTCAATGCTGTCGAAAGCCTTTTCATCATCTACGAAGTCTAAGTATAGCCAAAGGTTGTATTCGTTGGTTTTCTCAATTAAGATTTTAAGCGCATGTAGATGGTCGATTGTGCTGTATCCTTTCCTGAATCCGGCCTGTTCCACTGGTTGGTAGTTATTAAGTTTATTGGTTGGTCGATTGTTTATTATTCTTGTGAAGGTTTTATATAGTTGTGACAAAAGGGAAAAAGAACGGTAGTGTTTAGGTCTAATTGGTCTCCTTTCTTATGTACTAAGATTGTGTTCATTGTTTAGGTATTTTACCTTCAAACAGACATTTGTTGTTTTGTTTTATCGTGTCTCCCCATTCTTGTAGCAGTTCCGCCAATATTTTGTCCTTAACGGCCGCTTTATTTCTTTTCATGTCGTTTATGGATTTTTCGATTTCATCTTCAGATATTTCTGGTGGTAATACCTCTGAGCCAACAATTTGAATTTTCCTCGAGATATTCTGTTTAGATGATAGTGGTGGGCCATTTTTAGAACTGTATAGGTCTGTGAAATATCTTTCTGTGATTTTTACTATTTCTCCTAGATCTCTTTCTTCATTGTTTTTAGCTTTAATGATGATTAGTTTTCTTTTTCCTATATTTGTCTTTAATGTTTTTAAACTTTTGAACTTTTTTTCTTAAATTTAGAATAGATATAGTGTACTTAAATTAGTTTTGTTGCAAAAAGTTATCCTAATAGAAAAAAAACACAGAATTTTAGAGAGAAAAGACAAATACCCAATACAAATTAATGGTACTCAGTACTCTGTACTAAGTTAAAGATAGTAATAGATTGACACAACCAAACTTTTATGGAATCACCATGTATTTCAAACCAATATTTATTTGTTTTGAAAAAACTTGATATTATTGCGAATAATAAAGGTTTTATTGAAAATAAATAAGCCAATTAAACAATCGAAACGATAAATATCCTCACTTTCGCTTTTGTAAGCTATTGATCACAAGTTTCAATTGTATAATTTAAGCATATTTAGGTTTTCCTCATTTTTATGTATTGGTGATTAAATTGCTTTATATTAAATATTCTTTGACTTCGTAGATTGGTTTTTTTGAATTCCGAATTTTTGAAATCAGATGATTCCAAATAAGTTAGGTTGTGTGTACCTAGATTAAAGAGTTGGAAATAATAATCCGAAATTATTCCGAAAAGTTAGATTTGATTTATAAAACACAAAGAAAAATTTATACACTTATTATGCAAACGCACGAATTAATAGTGAACAAAGTCAAGGTGACTTTAATAAACATGGTATATAAAAAGTAGCAGGACTTAAAGTTAGAGCTGTCAAAAAACATCAACAATTATTTTGGTAAAACAAAGAAGTCATTATAGAATTAGGTTTGAACTTGAATTTGAGTCCTTGGTAAATTCAAAAATAATTTTTGTAAGTACTTGTGTTTTTGGTCCTTGAAAATCGTAATTTTACGTTTTTCTCAGTTTTAAATTTTTTTATTTTTTTTTTCGTCTTTATAGAGAAGAAGTCTGGAATCTTTAAAATACACCTCAGTCATAACCCCTTTATATGCCAGGTTCCATAGCGTCGGGCCCAAGACAGATCCTTAAGGAACCTCAGCCGTCACGTCCACGATCGTACCCTTTTCTACCATAATCGTGACAGATACTCTGCCACCACATTCATCATGTAACCAGGATATTTTCTCTTCTTCATTGCCTTCATTACTTTGTTCTACTGCAGCGTATTGAATGCATTTCTAACATCAAACAACAATATGGCTGCCCAGCGATGTTCATTTCCTCTGTTCATCTGCCGACCGGAAAAAGCTCTCGTGGTACTTTAAGCTTGTTATTCATAGGCATTTCGGAAGAAGGACATGCATGGAACGTCTTCATAACGATCTTGTAACCCTGACCCCAGATGTCCTCATCCAGCATTTTACACAGCTTTTTCCAGTGCCTTCTTTTTTATTTATAACTTAAAAACGATCAAAAACCGTCTACAAAAAAATCCTATCAGCACGAAATAAATAAATACCTTACAAAAAGAGTATCTCTTTTCTCTTTAAATTATTAAAACTATTTTAAGGTTCTAATAGTCACCCATTTTTAAAAGCCTATAATAATACATAACTATTTTAATTTTATTTCTGACATACAAAAGTTACGAATCAATATTTTTATTTGTTTTACTTATAATTTTGATTTGCATACTTTTTACAAATTTGTTTTTTTTTTAGGTTTCTTGACTAGTCAGGATAACGCAATGCCCGGCAATTACGGATTAAAGGATCAACATTTTGCTTTAAAATGGGTACAGCAAAATATCCACTTATTTGGTGGTGATCCAGACCAGGTCACTATTTCAGGTCAAAGTGCGGGAGCAGCTTCTGTCGCCTTTCATATTATGAACCTAAAATCAGAAGGTATATTACCCGAATTTATTACTTAGATTTTGATAAATTAATTACTATTTAACTGGGAATAAGCCACAATTAAAGATAAAAATACGTTTATTGACATTTCAATTTCCACTTCGGAAATCGTTCTCCAAATACAAACAGTAAATTAAACAAATTTTGTTTTTTGTTACATAGTGAAAAATTCTTTTAATAATTTAATTTTATCTGACTCATTTATATTGACAATTCAGACATACATTATGCATTTTAAAGTAGACAACTTTAAAATGATATTGCCAATATTGTTGAGTTATCTCAACAATATTGAAAGAGGAAGTTATTAATAAGAAAATACCAGTATTAGTAAGTCAGTAACATATAGAAGATACATCATTTATGTTTTTTAAATAACGTAACATATAAAATCAGAATTTTAATGTTTGTTGAAGGTAAACTAAATTCACGAACAAATACTTACAATGTCGGGATAGTATTATGAGGTTTTTTTCCTGGATTTTCCCTCATAATTTACTATGGAATCACTAACAGGAGAATTTTACTGTCGTCATGTCATGTGTTTGTCTTTTTAAAGACGAATTACATGCTATGATTTTTTTCTGACGGATATTCTCAAGTTAAAGTTGATTTCATGTTATCGAATGAACTATCTTATAAGTAAAGTCGTCCCAGGAGCTCAACTCAACAATATTGGCAATATCATTTTAAAGTCGTCTACTTTAAAATGCATAATGTATGCCTGAATTGCCAATATAAATGAGTCAGATAAAATTAAATTATTAGAAGAATTTTTCACTATGTAACAAAAAACAAAATTTGTTTAATTTACTGTTTGTATTTTGAGAACGATTTCCGAAGTGGAAATTGAAACGTCAATAAACGTATTTTTATCTTTAATTGTGGCTTATTCCCAGTTAAATAGTAATTAATTTACAATGCCACAAGAAAATAGCTTCAGAACAATAGATTTTGATAGTTGTACCTACAAAAAATGGTCCCAATTTGTCACTCAGTTCATATTTTTTTCCACTGAGCTACTCCTTTACCACACATCAAACAACCAAAAAATTTTAACAAACAGTTTCAGTCAGCTTTAATAAGTATGAAACATATATTTTGCAGTTACATACTATAATACTATAGTATTATAAAGAAAAACAAAGCGGTTATATATTTCTTTATAAAATAATTTTTGTAGGACTATTTAGAGCTGCCATAGCCCATAGTGGTTCTGCACTCAACAATTGGGCCTATCAACATAATGGAAGAGATATAGCATATGGTATTGCTGCAGAAATAGATTCTAATTTTACAAGAGACAGAACCACCGATGAACTACTAGAATTTTTAACAAATGTTCCTGCTTCTGATATCGAAAAGACAGCGGATAAATTTAGCGTAAGTTTTTAGATGAAATTTATAGATGTTACAACTTTTCTTATAAATTTAAAAACACCACAGTTTTTATATCATACATTTTATCATATTTGTAACAGCTTCAGATTCTTGTCGATTTTAAAAAGTGCTACTAAAGGATATTTCAATAGTCTGTTTTTGATTTAAAATGAAAATTACTGCATTTTGTCAAAAAATATCAAAGATGTGTAGACAGAAACCAATCTTAACAGCAAAACGTTCGATATTAAACCAAATACGGACTCAGACTAAATATCACAAAAACCAAATGGATTTTAGTAAGCAAAACCCAACAACCACCACAGCAACTCATATTCGACAATGAAAGAATTGAACACGTGGATTTGTACATCTACTTGGGAACAACAGTTAACTCAAATTAGGATCAAGCGAAGAAAATACGTATAAGAATAGACAAGGCAAGAGTATCGTTCACTAGCATGAGGCAAATTTTCACCTCTAAAAGCCTCACGCTACCTCTCAAAATTCGACCTCTGAAATGTTGTGTACTCCCGGTTTTGTTATATGGAATAACATTGATGAAAAAAGTAGAGGCCTTCAAAATGTGGGCTTACCGACGTATATTACGTATATCTTGGACCGAGCACATGACCAACGAAGAGGTACTACGCCGGATAGATAAAGAGAGAGAGGTACGAATAAGTCTAAAGAAAATAAAGTTGGAATACTTGGGTCACGTTATGAGACATAATAAATATAGAGTACTACAGCTTATCGTTCAAGGGAAAATAGACAGCAGAAGGGGTCCAGGGAGAAGAAGTCACTCGTGGCTCCAAAACTTGGGGCAATGGTTCGGATTGTCATCTGCTGAACTATTCAGATCTGCCGTAAACAAAGTCAGAATAGCCATGTTGATTGCCAATGTTCGGAATGGACAAGGCACATGAAGAAGAAGAATTAAACCAAAATACCAAGCTTAGGACATCTTTTATATAGTTGAAGATCGTGAAGCATTGGTAATAGAGAGCGTCGAATAACTCTGATATCGCATAAAAAGAAGCAGAAGAAATCATAATTATTGTAACCAATAAAGATAAGATTGTTGTTGTTTACAATGTGTCAATAATTTTATAAATTTAATATGTATTAATAAACCATCCTTTCTGTAATTAGCATGTAGTAATAATTAATTTTTTTAAGGCTTTCGCTCCTGCAATAGAAGTTCCTAACGATGACTCAGTATTTGCTAATCTGATTTACGATGCTGCTACATTGAAATATTTTAATAAGGTTCCCCTTTTGATCGGAATTAATTCGGAAGAAGCTGTATTTAAAGCTAAAGGTATTGTCAACGGTTTAGTACAATTTTTGCTATATCTTAGAAAAGTGTTAACAATTTATTAAGAGCATATTATTTTTATGCAATATTTAAGAATACTTCTTAATGAACTATTTAATTTTAGCTACAGATTTTGTCACTAATAGATATTAAAATGATTTATATAGAGTTCACTGCATTGAAAGGCCTCACTACCCCATAATATTCATCCAACTGTTCTTTTGTTTCCTTCCGTTTTGTGTCTCCAACAATAGTATTTGACCAGAGATCTAAAATCTTTGATTTCCATACGCGTCATTTTTGAATGAAGCATATGCGTTCCAAACACGTCAAATGGATGCAGATGTCAACAATTGTTGCATAGGCTAATCTTCGAAGAATATAACTTATCAAAACACCAAATATTTTCAATCAATTCAATATCCAATTAAATTTTTTTAAATTTAAATAATTTTGAAATATAATAAACCATTTTTATAACCTTAATAAATTTATGTTTTTATTTTATGATCACTCACTAATGTATTACATTTTCTGTCAGATCTACATTCATTGAAAAAAGAAGCCGCAGGAGTTGATAAAGATCCAAGTAAATTAGTTACATTTGAAGTCTTACCATACAACGATTCAATGCAGTCACTTGTGGGCAATAAAATTAAAAACCTTTACGTGGAAGAACAAACTTTCGAAGAAAATCTTGGAAAATATTTACAGGTACATATCTAAGGACGTAAGTTTGATATATATATATTATATATATATATTATATATATATATATATATACATATATATATATATATATATATATATATATATATATATATATAATATATATATATATAATATATATATAGTTCAGCTCAACAGGCCTCAAAGGCCCAAGGCTTCAACGGTTTTCTTCCATTTCTTTCTATCTTGTGCCAAGTTTTTCCAATCTTGTACCCGCAGCGACTTCAGATCTTCTTTTGCCGACTCCAGCCATTTTCTTCGGGGGCGGCCTCTTTTTCTTTTTGTACCAGCCTCCGTGTTTATTAATTCATTGGGAACTCTTTCTTCCTTCATTCTTGCTATATGCCCGAGCCATCTTAATCTTTGAATTTTCGCGAGTCTTGTTATTTTTGGTTGCCCATATATTTGCATTATTTCTTCATTCGTTCTTCTTCGCCAGATGTTCCCCTCTTTTACACCTCCGTATATCCTTCTAAGAATTTTTCGTTCCCATCTATCTAATTTTACTTCCATATCTTTATTTAGTGTCCAGGTCTCGCTAGCATAGAGTACTGTAGGTCGGATAACTGTTGTATATATTCGTTTTTTTGCTGTTCTGGATATTATCTTCGACCTCAGTATCTTAGTCAGGCTCCCAGCACTCTTACTACCTTTGGCCATTCTTTTTATGATTTCTTGGTTCTCTTCGTTCCTATTTGTTAGTGTCACTCCCAAGTAGTCGAATTGGCTAACAACTTCAAAGTTATATTCTTTACTTGGGCTTTGTATCTTAAAGGACTCTCCTAGATGATTTTCGTTTCCCCACATCACCATATATTTTGTTTTTTCTTCGTTTATTTCTAAACCATATTCTCTGGCTATTCTCTCTATTCTAATAAAGATTTCTCTTAATTCTGCAGGTCTCCTTGTTATTAAGGTAACATTATCTGCATATGCTACACATTGATGCCTGTGATGATATATTGTGCCTCTAGTGTAGATGTTACATTCTCGTAAAATCTTCTCTAAGATCAAATTGAAAAAATCTGTTGATAACGGATCACTTTGTCGCAGACCTCTATTGGTGATAAAACTATCCGAAACCCGTCCTTCTAACATGACTTTACTTTTAGTATCATTTAGTATGCATTTAGTCAGTCTTACTATTTTTGGTGGAAATTCAAAATATTCTAGTGCTTCATATACTTTATTTCTTTTTATAGTATCATATGCCATTCTAAAATCAATAAATAGCATGTGTACTGTTAGGTTGAATTCATATGAGCTAGCTAAAATTTGTTTCATTGTAAAAATTTGGTCAGTTACCGATCTGTTTGCTCTGAAACCTGCTTGATATTCACCTAGACAATTTTCAACTTTTGTTTTAATTTTAATTCTAATTGATATGGCCAAAATCTTATACACTGTATCTTGTAGAGCTATTCCCCTGTAATTTTTACATTCTGTAACGTCTCCTTTTTTATGCACTGGACATAAAGACTGCTTCTTTCCACTGATTGGGTATTTTTTCTTTGATCCACACCTTCTTCTTGTACCATTTCGCCACCTTCTTTTAAAAACTCAGCAATGATACCATTTTCACCAGGTGCTTTGTTGTTTTTTAAGTTTTTTATGATCTCTATAATTTCTTTCTTGGTAGGTACTTCTTCATTTACATCTGTGTCCCTTATTTCTTCATGTTGTAGTTGCGTTTTTTCTCTTTCATCTTGGTCGTCCGTACATAATAATATGTTCTCAAAATAACTGGCCCACCTTCTTAATTTTTCATCTGTTCCACCTAACAGATTCCCCTCTTCATCTTTATAATATCTTGATGTGGTTTTGTACTGGGTTCGGTCTCGTTTTATTTCTTGGTAGAAATTCCTGACTTGTTTATGTAAAAAATATTCTTCAATACGAACTAGTTTCTGCTCTAAACTTGAACGCTTCTTCCTTCTACAGATCTTCTTTGCTTCCCGTCTTTTTTCGGCATAAGCTTTTTTACTCTCTTCATTATTTCTTATTATGCTATTTATTCTAGCTTTATTTCTGTCACTAATGGCTTTCTTACAATCCTCATCATACCAATCCGTTTGTTTACATTGTCTGTTTCTTAATAATACTGAGTCGGCTGCTTCTTGAATTTTTTCTTCTAGTTGTACCCATCTGCTTTCTATATCATTTACTGTTGTCTGGCTTTTCAGTTTCTCTTCAATTTGCTGCCTGAATTTTTTCCTAACTTCTCCCTCCTGAAGTAGTGCACCGTTATATATTTTTATTTTTTTTACAACTAGCGTTATTAATTGTGGCTATTATTTGCTCCATTTTAATTTTGACCAAAAAGTGGTCCGAATTTGCATCAGCACCTTTGTAACTTCGGCTATCTTTTATGGCTCTCATATGTTTGGCTTCTATTAGGAAATGATCTATTTGGTTTACTGTTTGTCCATCTGGTGATATCCAGGTACCTTTATGAATTTCTTTGTGATCAAAATAAGTGCTCATAATTCGCATATTGTGTTCGAAAGCAAATTCTATTACTCTTTTTCCATTCAGATTACTATCTCTATGTTTACTTTTTCCCCCTGTTATTTGTTTGTATACATCCTCCCTGCCAATCTTGGCATTCAAATTTCCTACAACTATTTTTATGTCATATGATGGTATTTTGTAAAGCATATGTTCTAATTGTTCATAAAAGCTATCTTTAACGTCTTCATCTGTATTTTTCGTTGGTGCATGCACATTTATAAAGGTTATTTTTTCCTCTTATTCTTATTTTATATAATCTGCTTGTGACTATAGTTAACATATAAATTTACTTTTTCTATACTTTTAAATCTTGCTATTTTGACCAAAAGATTGTCTTCTGCTCTGGGTATGTGACTATTCCATTATTATTTCAGCTTGTGCCTTGCAGTTGTGTCGGGTTTTTAACTGAGTGTTATACTGGCTTTTTAAATTCTTAAATTGATCTCAATGTGAAAAATCGGCTTCTCCATATACTGCTCTTTAGACTATACCCTTTTTGTAATTTACTTTTGACTTATGTCCAGGTCTTCATAGCTGAGCAGTTGCTATTATTTCAAGGTATTTTATTTCCAAGACTTAATCAAGGCTAAAGTAAAACAAAAAATCAATAAAAGGTAAATTATTAGACTATAATTAACACAGAAGAAGATAAAAATTAAAATAAGCCTTCATGTGCAAAAATTAGCCACCGACAATAAGGTATAAGATTAATAGAGCAAAAAGCCTGGAAGAAAGCAATTGAAAAACAGCTCCTTACTATACGAAAAACTCTAATCGGAAAATATTCGTATATTTAAACCAAAAACAAAAATAATATACTTAGAGTATAAAAGAAGAACCCTTTCTTAATATAAAAACAACATTTAGCCTCAAAACTTATAAGAACATTAGTCCAATTATTCAAAAAATTTATTACACAAATAAAAATTGGAAATGCTGTAGGTCCTGACCCAATACCAATGGACTGGCTCAAATTCCCAAGTGACGAGAATATCTCAGAGCTAACAGACATCCCTGAAAGACAAAAAAGATCTGAAAGACAAAAAGATACCCCAAAACCTTCGAACCAAAGTGTTCGATTCTTGTATCCTTTCCGTTCTCACTTACGGAGCTCAAACCTGGACATTCACAAAAAAGAACATGGACAAGATTCGAAAAACTCAGCGAGCCATGGAACGACAGATGCTTGGTATCTCACTAATAGATCGGCAAACGAACGAAGCAATCCGGAACAAAACAAAAATAAAGGACGCCGCGAAACAAGCAGCTAAATTAAAATGGAAATGGGCTGGTCACAACGAACGTCTCGAAGATGGTAGATGGAACAAAGAAGTCGGAAACTGGTGACCGTACGATGCGAAGAGACCAAGAGGAAGACCTCAAATGCGCTGGAGCGACGATATCAAAAGAGTCGCAGGACCAATGTGGAAACGCCTAGCACACAACAGGGATGAATGGCGAGAAATGGGAGAGGCCTTTATTCGAAAATTCGGATAGAAAAAGGGCTATAAAAAAACAGACATCCATAACTATATTAACGAAACTGAAATAGTTCTTGAAATATTTCTTTCTCTGAAAGTTTGTATTGGAGCTGAATGTTTCATTAACTGTTCTAAAATTCTTATAACATAGGCCAAGGAGAAGGAATATTGACGAAAATAATAACAAAGAAAAAACCCTACATGGAAGAATAAGGGAAAAGTAAGAAATTGGTACGAATGAATATTTGTGGCTTATCAATGGACTCGTCTATTAGCTGATAAATTATCGTAGCATATCAACAACTTGTCATTGTGGCTATAAACTTCAAATTTTGACACAATACTGAAAGAAGACGAAGTAGTTTCCTTTAGCTAATAAAATCGATAAATATACAATTAAAAATATACTGAACAACAGGAAGTGTGAGTTAAAGTCTAATAGTAAAAGTTTCTGATATTTTATCTTTGTGTTTTTTTTGTATGTTTCTTTCTGTTATTACATACTTTGATGCAGTTACCTTTATTACATTTAATCTATTACAAATAAAACAGAATTATCATATTCATTTGCAAATACCGTACAATACCTACAAATTTTTATATTTTATTTATTTTTTTGTAGTATTTTGGAGACAACAGGTATATGAGACCCGTAATTAAATTCGCTGAACTGATTTCCACAGCTGCTAGCGTATATTTCTACCAGTTTTCGTATAGTGGAAAATTGGGAGGCAACGATGTTTCTTATCCAGGTAATAGAATTAATTTAATAAGATTCCAAATTTACAAAAAAAAAATGAACAATTCATGTTCATAGATCATGTTAATACCGGCATCAAATAAGAACTGTCCCAACTAAAGGAGAAATGTCTTTTCTAATAAAACTTTTTTAAGGTAGTTTCTAATAAAGCTTTTTAGATTAAAAAAACAAGAGGTTTAATAGCAAATACGACCAAATAGCCCAGAAAGCAGTTGCAAATTGGGAAAACTGTGAGAAATACCACTAGACATGTTATATTGGATTTATAAAATTGCAATAAAACCAACAATTACATATCAATTAGTGCTATGGTCGCAAAAGACACAGCAAAAAAATACTATCCCTAAGTTAAGCTAGGTGCAAAGGCTTGATTGGAATCACAGTGGCTTTAAGTGGAATATCAAGATCATCTAAGAAGATGTCTCTACTCTGCATATTGTTATAAATTGGAAGAGAGAATGAGACATTATGGATTACGAAAAAACCTGAACAATGTAGATACTGAATTATTGATGATTATTGACCATATAATACCCAAACGCAGACCTTTAATAACTCTTCAGTGGAACATATGAACACCAGAGGTATAAGGAAGAAAAACAAACAATCCAAGCTATAAGGTTAGGCAAGTGAATGAGTGATTTAAACCTGCAGAAGGCTTGTATGTAGCAATTTACTTGAGAAGTTGTTACAAATTTATAAATCAACGAATAAAAGACATCCTCTTTAAGACTAAGACTAAATTACTAGGGGTGTGCAAGAATTTTGCCAATAAATGTATTGTTTATAAAGTAATTACTATCTTTGTTTCAGGTATTGGAAAGGTTGCACATGGTGAAGATTTGAATTATTTGTGGGTTTACCACGATGACTACACAAGTTTTCCAGATTCTGATCTTGTTACATTAAAGAGATATGTGCAAATAGTGGCAAATTTTGTTAAAAATCTGTAAGTATCTACATTTATACACTTACTTAAGTTTTTTTATTTTGTGTTATTTATGTTATTGATGTGTCTGTTTGTTGTACAAACAAACAAACAAACAGACACTTACAAATATCTGGGACACGAAATCAAAATAAGCAGAGACAATCAAACACATGAAATACAGAGGCGAATAGGTCTAACATGGGCAGCATTTGGCAAATTAAGCCATATTCTAAAAAGTTCAATTCCCATGTGTCTCAAGCGAAAGGTTTATAACCAATGTGTTTTACCTGTACAAACTTATGGAGCAGAGACTTTAACACTCACGCAAAAATCTGCGAATAAACTTAGAGTTACACAACGAGCCATGGAACGTGTAATGCTGAACGTGAGCCTTCGAGACCACATAACAAACCAACAAATCAGACGAAGATCAGGAGTTCAAGACGTCATCGAAAGAACCACGACGCTTAAGTGGAACTGGGCAGGGCACTTAGCCAGAACACAAGATGGACGGTGGACAAGACGCATTATGGAATGGAGGCCCAGAAATTATAAAAGAAGCCGAGGACGACCACCGACTAGATGGACCGATGACATTAAACGTGTAGCGGGAAACTGGCTACAAGCGGCCCAGTGTAGAGAACACTGGAAAGAATTGAGGGAGGCCTATGTCCAGCAGTGGACGCGATTGGCTGATTGATGATGATGATGATGATGTTATTGATACAATTTTGACAGATATGTCTTGCCTTTAATTTCTAATTACGCCTATATACTATATCAATATGTTCTGCGAAAATGATTTTTCCTTTTTTAATTATGTATAGGTGTTCTTGTAAAACTTTTTTCCTTATTGTACAAAATTTGGATACGGCAAAACTTTTTTGAGGTGAAAAATCCAATTGTAATTTGTGTTTTTTCGACAACTCTGCGAATCGCATTTTGTGTAAAAACATAGGGACTTCTAGTTTTAAATAAAATCTATATATACTTTAATGCTTAAAAAAGTTTCTTTATCTATAACAAAAAAGAAAATCATAGAGCTTTTCAGTCCATCAGTTGATGATGTTCGTGATGAAAAACACAGTGCTTTACTATATTGCGGTGTAATCAATATTTTGTCCTGAATTTTGACTTCAGAATTAAATTGCCTTAGAAAATCAGGGAACTATACTTGTCATTATTCAATTTAAAGACATATTTTTAGCATAGTTTCTTTTACATGTTATATTTGTGTCCATTTGTTTAGATGAAGCCTAAAAGTTTAAGCTTTTCAAAATCTTACTCATTAAGAACCGACAAATAACTGAGTTCGATTCGGAGTATACCGAGAAAAATAAAAACCGCTTAATCCAGCAACGATAGACACAGACTCAGCAAGTACTGCCAGGACGAGTAAGTCGTAGATATATCAAGTGTCCAGCGAACGAAGCCGAAAGGGTCGGATTAGATTCCAAAGAAACCGTCTAAGATTCGTACAGATTCAACTCGTACAGATTCTGCATCGATTTTAAAAAGGTAATGAGCTCTCAACTAAGGGCGTATATCCACCAACTAGCATAGACTTAAAGAAGCAAACTTTATATCAACCCTCGATTTAAAACAAACCCTTGAACAGGACAAGCCGCCCAATAATAGCATATGGCGAAAGTCACTCTCAATAATTTAGAACTACTTCATTTGGCCTGCACTCCGCCAAAGTCTGAACACCTATTGGATAATGCAATATCTTCCGATATAAATTTCACATTCACTTACTCAGACGGTATTGTGGTATCAAAGATACTCCAAGGGCATTTAAATTACCTACAAGAAGTCAGTCTTTCGAAGACTGAGAGAGGCTAGATTACAATTAAACTTTAAAAAATCAACCTTTTTCATTTTTTTAATTAATTATTAAAAAAGTAATTTTTATTAAATAAAATTATTGTTTTAGAGAACCTTCAATTTCCGATGAAACCATAAACTGGCCATTAGTACAATCTGGATCTATTTCTTACCTGGATATTGACGAAAAATTATCTATTAAGAAAAATCCGAGAGAGTTTTCGTACTCAAAATGGGAAGATATTTTCAGCAATTATGCAAGAACTCCGTATCTAAGTTACTAGTAGAATAGAATAATTTGTATTTTAAAATTACCTCCATATTTGTCAAATATGTATAAAAATCACTTTATAAAAATAAACAAATGCATGTTTTATTATCTTGCTGTTATTTTAATATTCCTGTTCTTCTACTATTTAAAACATTTGTGGATTGCTTTTGTTATAATGTTGCTCAACATTTCTTCATCCTTGTATCATTCCCTGTTTGTAACTGATAATAAAATATGACAGAATTGCTTTTGGTGTTATATTAATCCAGACATTTTTACAAGAAGAGATTTAAAACCAACAATATACTATATATAAAGGGCTTATCAACCAATTAAGAGAATAGGAAATATTCATAACTTCCTGACAGATATAGACAAAACCAAACCAAACAACTCACAGAAAAAATCAAGGAGCTGGCAACAGTGTAATTAAATTTTATATGAATATGCTTTGGAAGCTAATACATCCCATGAATTTGTTTTTATGTCTGACTTTCATAGAGGACAATAGTTACAAGGTTCGTACAAAATATTATTCAACATAACTTTTTTAAGGGTAGATAATTTAAGGTTTAATAATAAAAACTGGAAGTGAGCTTGAACATCATATAGTTTTACACCAAAAAGATACTCTTGGTAAAACTTAATACAGTATACCGTTTCCAGAATATTTTGATTTAAATCAGATCACAAAATTATGAAGTAATAGCCGATGCTGGTAAAAAGTAATGATAAAGTTAAAAACTAAAAAAAAAACGCAAGAAGAAAATAACAGTAAAGACAAAGAATATAAAATAAAATTTAATTAGATTAAGAGTTCAAAATGTTCTCCGTTTTCACGAATACAAGTCTGTACTTTTTATAAAGAATTGTTATGTAAAAATAGTAAGAAAATAAAGAAAAAAATAAGGGGTAGTAGCCTAGAGAAGAGTAATAATCATTTAAATAATTATCACATAGATAACGTATACATTTCAAATTAAACAAAGAATGATAACTCGACCTAGTTTAAGTGTATAACACGAGTTCAATAACAGTTTGCAACAGTTGTTTAAAAGAAAAAAATCACGTTTAAAAACAGAGACCTTTGTTGAAAAATAACACCGCTGCCTGGCCCGGTTGAAGCATGAGTACTAAGTCAGCAAAAGCCCGACCTCGGTAAATGAGAATAAGGGTTCATAAAAACGAACGAAGTGAACCAGGGAGTCAGTGAGAGTGGAACAAGTTTCCAGCTGTTCTCCGTGTGTAGAGGTTTACTCTCTGACTCTGGAACTCACTTCAGCCATGTATGTTACCTGTAGTCATATTTAATTTAATACTGAACATCACAGTTTTTTAACAACATAATGTATAATCTTTTACAACTATATGTAATTTAAAGGGTTTTTACCCATGTATTTTGGTGGCTCAGACATTTTAACCTAGCAATTTAAAATTTAAACCTGATGATGGACTGTTTATTCCGAAAACGTTTGTTTGTTTTTTGATGTAGCCCTTTTAAGGGTTTTTAAACAAATATACCCACTTACGAAGACTAACCCTTTTTTTTAAATGGAAATGGACTGGGCATAACGAAAGATATCAGGATGGAAGATAAAATGAAGAAATTGGCCGCTGAAGACCATATACCGCAAAAAGGTTAAGAGGTCGACCGCAAATGAGATGGAAAGTTGACATTGAGCAAAGCGCAGGTGCAATGTGGAAAAGACACACAGAAGACAGATACAAATGGAGACTTACTTTACTTTATCGTGTCCGGACATGTCATACATAAAATTTCTGCCCAGTATCGGGCTACGTCGGTTCCATCTTTGTTGGCGAGCCACAAATCTTCAAGGGTACATCGATGAGGACAGTTTCTGCATGTAAGAAGATGTTCCATATTCTGTGTTTCTCCACAGTCACAGTTCACATTATCTTGGTTTATTTTTCCCCATTTTGCCATGTTTGATTTTACTGTAGCAACCCCCGCTCTTATCCTATTCAAGGTTTTCCACGTTTTAAAGTCTAGGGTCTGGCCGGTCCATTGAACCTGGGGAAGTGGAAAATACTCAGGCGGTTCATCCTTCACTGTTCCAAGGATCCTTTTCCTAGATTTTATATCCATCCCATCCAAATATATAGATTTGAAAGTGGCGTTGGTTTCATGCACCCCGTTACTATCCTGCATGTCTCATTTAGCGCAGTATCAACTTGTTTGGTGTGGGCAGATCTGCTCCAAACGGGGCACGCATATTCAGCAGTTGAGAAACACAGTGCCTGTGCCGTTGTTCTTAAAACGCCAGGACGTGCGCCCCATTTACTTCCCGTTAGCTTTCTGAGTATGCTGTTCCTAATTGTTACTTTCCCTCTTGTTTTTATGCAATGTTGTCTGTAGGTGAGGGACCGGTCCAGAGTTACTCCAAGATATATAGGTTGGTTTGTGTGTTCTAATGCATTACCATTCCACACAATTTGGAGTTCTCGCTTGGCTTCCTTTGTGCGAAAGTGGAAAGCGCAGACTTGGGTTTTAGAGGGATTGGGTCTCAGAGAATTCTGCAGGTAGTACGCTGTCATTGTTTTTAAGGCAGTTTCGAGTTTCTCCTCCACTTCTTCAAAACTATTTCCTTGAGCACATATTGCAAGATCGTCAGCATAGAGGAAGTGCTTGGTTTCGGTCGGAGTAGGTTGGTCGTTTGTGTATATATTGAAGAGCATTGGTGCTAAAACACTTCCCTGTGGGAGGCCGTTTTTTTGAACTCTCCACCTACTTACTTTACCCTCCAACATAACGAAAAAACGTCTATTTTGCAGTAAGGAATATACGACCTTTCCCAGATGGTGGTCATTGAGAATATCGTATAATTTGCGGAGCAATGTTTTGTGCCTTACTGTGTCATAGGCTGCTGTCAGATCTACAAAAGCAGCCCCTGTTATAAGTTTTTCTTCAAAGCCCTCTTCAATGTGTTCTGTTAATGCGAGGACTTGACCGGTGCAAGATTTGCCAGGTCTGAATCCTCCTTGTTGTGGGATAAGGTGCTTGTCGACATTTTTTTCTATTCTGGTGAGTATGAGTCTCTCGTATAGTTTAAAAAAGTGACACAATAGCGAAATAGGTCTGTAGCTACTGGGGTCTTCTGGATCTTTTCCTGGTTTTAACAAGGCTATTACTTTAGATTTCCTCCATGATTTTGGAATTTTGCAGGTTTTGCAGCACGTGTTATAAAATTGCAAGATCCAGTTTTTTGCTCCTTGGCCTAAATGCTTTATTTGTTCACTGCATATATCATCCACACCTGCAGCTTTCCCGTTTTTTAACCTGTTCAGACCGTCGTGGAGTTCTTTTAGTGTAAAAGGAGTTCCTAGGTGGTTTGTCTCCGAATCCAATCTTCTCCTAGTGTTTGGGTCCTTATATCAGAAAGTAGTTCTTCCATTCGTAAGGAGTTGAGTAGCGACTTGGTTTGCTGTAACCTTGCAAGGTGGTTTATGTTCTTTTGGATCACCGCTGAGTTTTTTTACAAGGTTCCATGCTATTTTGCTACTATGTGTCATATCCATTTTTTCCAGGGTCTCAATCCACTTTTCCTGTCTGGTTTGACTTAGCTGTTGGAGTAGTACTGCTCCGCAGTCAACCGTTTCTTGGCTAAAAGGGTCAGTGGAATAGAGGGTTTCGTATGTTTTCATTAGTTCTTTGGACTCGCTGAACAAATGGAGACAAATGGGAGAGGCATATATTCAACACATTAATAGATTTTGGGCTATAAATAGATAGATAGATAGATAGATAGATAGATAGATAGATAGATGATAGATAGATAGATAGATAGATAGATAGATAGAGACAGTGTTACTTTGTATAAACACCTTATATATTATAAGCCAACATGAATCATACGTAGACTTGAACAGATTTAAGACACGCAAATATGCATAAGACAATGACGATAGAATACAACAGAAAGATGCATTAATGGTTATGATAGAAACGCAAAAGGAGAAAAATCAAGGAAAAAGCCCTTATCTAACTTCACGAAAAACAATATGAAAATAACTCGTCAACACAATGTAGCAGATGTTTTAGATTAATAAATAAAAATTTTAATCTTGCAGCTGTGTTTGCATTAAACAATCTCAAAAACATATCAATTGAAAAAATTATAATATTTATTATCACTTTTGGGGTACTTACTAATTTTCTGATTATCTTCAATATAATATTTAATATATATACTAAAAATAATATAGATTATATATGGTCTAATATAGATTCCTGAAAACGATTGGTTGATAATAAAAATGTTAAAATTACTGTTTTTTCTATTAGTGCATTTTATATTTAAAGTAAGGAAAACATATTTATTTCTTACACAACCCTTTTTTTCTAATTTTCCTTGATTCCACAGGCGTATTGCAATGACGACCTAATAGTTACTCTACCAAATGGAAAGATTCGCGGGATCACTGTAACACCACCAGCTGTTGTGAAAGACATTACGTATTATGCATTTTTGGGGATACCGTTTGCAGCGCCCCCAGTCGGACCATTAAGATTTAAGGTAAGTTTTGACAAATGAAACAATAAGGTTGAACATAATAAAAGCCTTTGTTAATTTTTATATTATTTTTAAAAATACTATTTTCATTTTGTTAAATAACTATTCAATTAAGATTTCACCTGAATTTTTTATACCGGTATATCTAATCTTATCAATACAATTACATGTTAACTGAAATATAGATTAATCAGTTAATTAAACCAAATTTAGTTTCAAGGTATTTTGAGAGTATAATTTGAGTTGACTGATCTATGATGTTAATATTTTGTAGCAGCTGTATAACAACGTCCCTTATCTATAGTTGTTGCCTTGTTCAGAGTCCCCTTTGCTTATAATAGGAAGCATTTGCCCTGTTTTTCAATTTAATGGCATTTTTTCTTTTAAATTGAAATAAGGTTGAATGCTTGAATAAATGAACTTTGATAAAATGAAATGCAGATATCGAGCACACTTTTATTAATTTAATCTTGCCCAAGTACTTTCGCTATCTAAAGCATCATCAAGGGCATTTCGTGAATATAATTGAAGTAATTGATGAAGTTCCCCTGATGATGCTTTAGATAGCGAAAGTATTTGGGCAAGATTAAATTAATAAAAGTGTGCTCGATATCTGCCTTTCATGTTATCAAAGTTCATTTTTTTTCTTTCCTAAATCTTAATTATTAGATGATATAGTTTTCTATGCAGTTCTTCTCTGGCTTGTTTTATTAGATTGTTCAGGATTTCATTTGGGCCTTTCATTAAGAGTTCTTATTCCCAAGCTATATTTTTTTTATACATTAGTGTGCTTTCTCTAGCCTTAAATAACTTTTTGTAATGTCTCTTTCATATTTTGCCATCAATCTCAACTATCAGCTTGTTATAGAGTGATTGTACAATGTGTTCATAAAGTGGGGAAACGATCTATTATCTCATGACTTAATTATTTTCAGTTAGAGTTAAAGCTCTAATAGGTCGATTTTTATTTCTGTTTTTTCCCTCTGTTTTTTCCTAAAAAAAAAAAGTACAAACGTACCAAACTCGTTTTTTTTTTACTTTTTTCTTTAGTCTACTTTTTCCCCCACAACCTTGGCTATTTATATTAGTTGAAACCAGATTGATAATGAGGTCAGATAAAATTTTATAACTATTTTGATACTCGATGATAAAGGATTTCATTTTTAAGTAACCTTACATGTGCACTCGAAAAGTGTCCGAAGTCCAACCAGTAATAACAACCAACTGATAGCATAACAACCAAATTAGTTGTTTATTATTATAGTAATATTTACTGTTTTTAGCCTCCACAACCTGCTAAGAACTGGAATGGCATTTTGGAGGCAAATAATAACAAGGTCTCGTGTTTCCAAACAGACCAACACGACGATTATGAAACCGAAGATTGTCTCTATTTGAGTGTTTATACCCCTAATGTAAGTATACAAATTACAATTTTTTTTTATTATTGGGTTAATATCTCGACAACTAAGATCATTGGCATGGTACAGTCAGGTACCTAGTGTAGTGTGTGTGTAGAGTAATTGTCTTGAAACTTAGCAAAGTCGACGTCATTGTCTTTGCTAAGAGACGCTAATTGTATCTGAACGTCTGCGGTCCCTCCGGTGAGTACCGATCGCACAAGGATAGAAATTATTTTCATTCATTAATTTTTAATAAACGAAAATTCCTCCACCCAGTTGAGATTCGAACTCACGACCTTTAAGTTTAAAGGTAGGCGCTCTTACCACTGAGCCACAGAGGGGGTAAAAATTACAATTAAACTGTATTTATTTAATCTTTACAGTGTCTTGTTTTAAGTTTACTTAAACAATCTTAGCTATATTAATTTATTTTCCAGATTTCTTTGGCTATATTTTCGTTTTTCTTGTGAGACTTATTTCTAGGTTTCAATCAGTAATATTCTATTATTGAAACATCTCATATGATTGTATTTCTTCTTCTTATGGTGCCATATCCAATTAGTGGATATTGGCGACAATTCTGGCATACTCCTCTAGATCTTGTGTGGCTCTAAAGAGTGAAGTCGTTCTCCTTCAGTAATTATTTTATCTATTAGTCATTGTAGCGCTCAATAAGACCTCTGTATCAAAATACAAACAAATCAATAAAAAAAAGACCACTGCTGAACATATGCCTCTTTCACGTATTTCCAACCCGTCTATCTTGTAAAGATAGACGGTTTAGGTTTCTGTAAAGCCCTAAATAATGATTTTGTCGAAAATAAAATGCAAGGCCAACAGAGAAGTTTCTTTTTTATTTCACTCCCGCTAAGCCATGAGTACTTGTTGTACCAATTATATGAAAATGATCTATTACTTTCCTTACCCCCACATTAATATTTATAGGCCATTACTTTTTTAGGCAAAGGACGCCCCTTATTTTTAATAGCAATTTGTTTTTCGTATGGAATAGATGAAAACCCTTTTTCCAAAATATAATTTAAAATATCAGATTCATTAGTAATTACAGTTTCTCTCATAGCTTGCATTTTTAGGTTAATTTATCTTAATTTGTTTACACTTTTATTCAAAAAAACTTCTAATATATCAAAAACCCTTTAACTATTTACGGCAGTGGTAACGGATCACAGTATTACTTTAGAAAATAAAAATAAATCCCAGAAATAAAAGCCAGTCCGTGCACTCAATATCACTTGACTACTTAGGTTTTTAAGTACTTATCCATCCCGAAATAATATTTCATCCCGCGCTCGCAAGGTATATTTTGAGGCCAATCGCAATCTTCTATCTTTGATTTAAGGATTGAAGGTCCTGTTTCTCCTTCTCCATGTAGGTGATCATCAGTCCTGTCAGATGCAAATAATTTTTCTATGTATGATTTTAATGTTTCTAAGATCGTTGATGGCTCCGAGATAAGATTTCCATCGATATATTTTATGCTGTTGGGTGACTTATTAAATTTCCTCATGTTTGTCATTGATTTATTGTAACTGTCGTATTTTCGTTCGTATTGTTCTATTTCCCTGCATTCGTTGGAAAACCATTTTTCTTTGGCTTCTCGAATTTTCGTTCTTATGATTTTGTGGATCTGCTGGTATTTTTATTCTTGAATTTACGTCTTTCATCCATCATATCCATTATCTTATCAGACATTCATTCTTTCTTCTTCCGTCTTTCACGCTTTCATAGAATCGCGCATGTTGTTTGGATTGCTTCTCTCGATTTATTCCATCTGTCTATTATGTCCGACGTGTTCTCGTTAATGTCGTTTATTTTCTTTTCTAGTTGTTCTCGTACTTTTATTTTGGTTTCTGGGTTAGTGAGCTTTTTAATATCAATTGTGTATTAATTAGATCTTTTCTTGAGCCGTTTTACTCCCATAACCATTCTGCCAGTTTGTGGTCCATAGGAATATCGGCACCTGGGTACGTTTTTGATGATTTTATCACGTTTTTATATATTGTTGGTACTGCTATATAAACTATCTCATTCCTTATGATGTCAGATAAGTCAGCGAGGGATTTCCATGTGTAAAGTCAACGTTTGGGGAGCTTGAAGAGTGTATTACTTAACAGCAGGTTATATCCAAGATTTACTATATACAATTTTCTCCTTTTTAGAAACCTTCTAGCGGTAAACAGACTCCTGTATTAGTGTTCATATATGGAGGTGGTTATGTACATGGACACGCGACATATGGCTCTAAGTCTGTAGCTTTCTTAATGAAGGATGATATCACAGTTGTTACATTTAACTATAGAGTTGGACCTTTTGGTAAGCTTGTTAAATTAACAAATTATATTTAAGAAATTATATAAATTAGGATATTAATTAAGAAATTAATAAATTTTTAACACTAAACGATATTTTTATTTGACAGCTATTTAAACTGTTAACATTATACAATTTAAAATTTCCATTAACCAAAGAAAAAATTTGTAGAAATAATCAAAGTTTTGATATTTTACCTTATTTTTAATAAAGAACCTTTACAGGATTTCTATCAACAGAAGACACTGTAGTTCCTGGTAATATGGGTCTTAAAGATCAGCAATTGGCTCTGAAGTGGGTGCACAATAACATTCATCTTTTCGGAGGTGACAAAAATAAAATAACGATAATGGGCCAAAGTGCTGGAGCAGCATCAGTTACATACCAATTGCTAAGTCCTGGATCGGCTGGTAAGCACTTAAATTCACAGAGATTGTGTTTCCACATAAAAAACATTAGTTAAATTTAAAAATGTTACGTTAAATACGATGGTAAACTACAGGACAATTATTGTTCTTATTAGACCAAGCGTTTTTTTTATTTTGATCTTTCTTATTAATTCTAGCCTATCCTAGTGGGATATGTGAACCAAATTGTGATATTTTATTACCAATTGTTCAATATAATCTAATGTTCTTAATAGAATTAAACTTCTCAGTACACTTATTTTAACGTACTTACAATCTCTTTTAATATTAATAAGAACAGTTATACACAGTTAATATTTAACTATTAACGCTACAAAGTTTATTTCTTAGACTAATCCTACAATTTTCTTTATCTGTACCTCTATCGTTCGCTTAAATGCCTGAAGATTTTTCGATGCCCTTGCGTCTCGCTTCGAGTGTTAGAATTATTCCGTGAACTTCTAGACTGGTTGCAGGTCATCGAATGCCAGACAGTTGTCCGAAAGGCAAGGGGTTGGCATAATAATACACATTTAAAGGAATACTAATTTTATTTTCTTTGCGTTGGTAGTAAAGCTCTTTTTATTGCATTTAATATTTACTGCGTTTGAGATTTTAAAGATCATTTAAACTATCTACTCTTATTGCGGTATATTTGATGTACCTGACAATTAAATAAATTTCAATCAGTTCTTCTTAAAGTGCAGTCTCCCTACGGTGATTGGCAATCATAATGGCTATTTTTATTTTTGAACTTGCTGCTCTAACCAAATCAATTAATTTGGATTGATACCAATCATGTAGATTTTTCAACCCCGAGTTCTTCCTTTGGCCAACAGATCTTGGCCAAAGGCCTTTATTGTGAATGTGAAGAATTTTAAATTTGTCATTAAAAGAATGATTATGATCTAGAAGGTGAAGTGCGTATGTCGAATCTGTTTTTCTATTATGAAAAGCCCTTTTATGTTCTGCTATTCGTTTATTAAAGTTTTTACCAGTTTGACCGATGTAAGTCTTTGGGCAGTCGCCACATTGAAGTTTGTACACACCACTATTTAAGTGTTTTTTATTTTGGCTCTTGTTATTTTTAATATATTTGCCTAGGTTGTTATTTGTTCGGAAAGCTGGTGTTATTCCTTTCTTTTTTATGTGTTATTTATTATATATATATTTATGGCTATTTTTGTTGTTATTTTGCCTGTATATGTAATCGCGCAGAAGGTATTGGGTTTTTTCGCTGGTGGTAGAAATACTAATTTCAGGGCTTTCTTGTGTAGTTTTTGATTTAACATTTTATTAATTGTTTGTTCGTTGTATCCGTTGTTTACTGCTATTTGCTTAATTATATTTAATTCTGTCTCAAAGTTGTATTTTGACATCGGAATTTCTGTTAATCTATGTAACATACTATGATAAGCTGCCAGTTTATGTTGTGTTGGATGGGATGAGAATTGTGTATAAGTGTGTCAGTATGTGTAGATTTATGAAATATGGAGAAGTCATGGAGAAGAAATATGGAGAAGTCACAAGAGCCAAAATAAAAAACACTTAAATAGTGGTGTGTACAAACTTCAATGTGGCGACTGCTCAAAGACTTACATCGGTCAAACTGGTAGAAACTTTAATAAACGAATAGCAGAACATAAAAGGGCTTTTAATAATAGAAAAACAGATTCGACATACGCACTTCACCTTCTAGATCATAATCATTCTTTTAATGACAAATTTACAATTCTTCACATTCAAAATAAAGGCCTTAAGCTATCTTTGTTAAAATCTATGGAAATCAACAAATTGAAAAACATATAATTCTGTATGACCAACTTGAGACAAACAGTTCTCCCCTCCTCAACCTATTTCATTAGAGACTATAAATTGTAAACGCATGCCAAAAATAGATCACTTGAGAAAGGCAATCAGCTGAAACAGCTGTAGTGATAATAATTAAAATAAATTTTGTGGAAGTTTGAAAACAAAGTTTTCAGTGTTTTATTGTTAAATAAAATGAATTTCCATCAAGTAACGGTCGAATCCATCAATTATATATAAATAATTTTACGCAACTAAATGCTCATATTAATACTTTGATATGCGCATCTTTTTAGGCTTATTTTCTGCTGCGATAGCAAACAGTGGTTCAGCTCTTTGTAATTGGGCTCACCAAAACAACGCTTTAGATACAGCGTATGGCATAGCAAACGAAATTGATCCTAACTTTGGACGAAAAAAGACCACCCAGGAATTATTGAAGTTTTTACAAAGCGTTGATGCATCTGCCATCCACGCCACTTCAAATAAATACAAGGTAAAATTTTTAATAGCTTTTCCAAAAAACTGTTATATATGTAGCATATAAAACTGTAATAATACAATGCCATTAAAAAGAATCGTGACTAGAGTCGCAGAATAAGCTTTTGTCGGTCCTAATGTTAGTTATCCTCATACAAGAGATTTTAAACAATTTTAACGTAACCCGTTTAACGTTTTAATTTTAAAATAAAATCAAGCCCCTTTCTAATCTAAAATACTTTCAAGATCTTTTTTTAATTGGCATGAATAATAGTGTACCATCAAACTCCAGCTTAGTTCGTGGCAGATTAGATGCGGAAGATCTGGTATTAGTATCTTCAGGAAAAACATTCAGCGTCACTTACAAACCTTACTTTATGAACTCGAAAATTAGTTGAAGAAAACAGGATTGCAGTTTTCATTCAGCAAATTAAAGTGTTTGTTATTTTCAAAGAAACGTGATCCGATTAAACCGCAACTAAAATTATGTAACCAAATGCTGGATTATGACGATGACATTAGGTTCTTAGGGATGATTTTAGAACACATGCCAAAATGGAATTAATCTTATGAAAATTTTATATAATAAAAATTATGCCAGTTTGTCCATGATCCGAGAAAGATTACAATATCATAGATCGAATTTATTTTTTGTTGAACAAGAAGATTTGCTTTTCAATGTGATATCAAATTCTGATTTTGATCAAATTATTTTTAGTTTACATATAGTATATGAAAATTCATATAGAAAACAAAGAAATATACATTTAAATAAATTTAATATTTTTTTAGAACAAAAGAGTATACACACTTTAGATAACCTCATTAGAAATGATAACATATTAGCGACAGTTGTCAATCTATCAAATAGATATTTATATGCAACGGAGAATTTAATATTGTCAAAGGGTCTAAACTTTGCTATTACTCAGCCATCCGTTCAACAAAAACAAAATTTGTTTAATTTACTGTTTGTATTTTGAGAACGATTTCCGAAGTGGAAATTGAAACGTCAATAAACGTATTTTTATCTTTAATTGTGGCTTATTCCCAGTTAAATAGTAATTTATTTAAAATGCCACAAGAAAATAGCTTCAGAACAATATTGAAAAACTTCTTCTCGAAAAGTGTCTTGTTGTAAATGCCTTTTATAGTATTTTCAAACGAGGGATTGTATAATAATTGTATTGATTTTTTGTACCATTTTAAAGTAGTAAAAAGTTGTGTCTGACAACGTTTTTTTTACTTACTGTCCTTATATGACCTAGATATTGAATCTTTCTAATTTTAACAGTTTTTATGACTTCACATTCTTTCTTTATTCTTTGTAACACCTCTATATTAGTTACTTTTTCGGTTCACGATATTCTGTGAATTCTACTGTAGCACCACATCTCAAAGGAGTTTAATTTTATGATTTTAGACCGTTTTGTTGTCCACGCTTCCATATCATATAGTAAAGTAGAAAAAACGTAACAACAAAGCATTCTTGTGCGGATCTCTAGATTCAAGTTACGGTTGCAAAGTAATTTCTAAACGTGTTTCTTGCCATTTCTATTCTAGATCTGATTTCTTTTGTTTAATCTCCATCTTCGGTTAGCCACGTTCCTAAATATTTATATGTTGTTACTCTTTCGATCGTTGTATTTTTGATGATCAGGTTATCTACATCTTGTGGTTTTTTTGAGTAGATTATATTATGTACTGTAGATCGTCCATGTCACTTGCAAATATGACCGTATCGTCCGCATATCTAATATTATTAATGCTATTTCCGTTGACCAAAATATCTTCCACAATATCCAATAAAGCTTCTTGAAATATCACTTCACTGTAGACGTTGAATAAGAGTGGTGAAAGTGTGCACCCTTGTCGAACTCCTCTAAGTATACTTACTTCCTCTGTCAGTTCTTCTTCGACACTTATTTTTGCTTTCTGATTGGTAGCTATACAATTCTCTGAAATGTACACTCATATTTTGACAGATAAATATATTATTATTATTTGTTTAAGATATTTGCTCCAGTTATTGAAGTCCCTCATGATGGAGCCATTATATCAGCAAATATGTATGATTCACTGGTACAAGGACATTTTAATAAAGTTCCTTTATTAATGGGTTTTAACTCCGAAGAATCGATTGGAATGGCAAAAGGTATAGTATATAAGAAATGTAGTCATTTCATCTATGTGGATATGAGTCATAGTCTATGTGGATATGAGTCATTTTTTATCGTAACAATACTTATCTTAATTTAACACTTTTTTGATCTGTATTACTTTTTTAGATATAAATGCATGGATAAATCATTGCAAGATGTACGACGCGAATCCCGGCGGCCTTGTTGACCCTGACATGCATATTACCGACTACAAAACTAAGCTAGCAGTGGGAAACGAAATAAAAAATCTTTACGTTGGTCATAGTACATTTGAGCACGAATACGGAAAAGGAATTCAAGTAAGTTATCATTAAATAAAAATAGTTATTTATTTATTGTGTGGTCCGTGAGACGTTTATGCATTGTGTAAAATTTAATAAACATATTATAGGTTTATAAACGTACGTGGAGCAGTGTCCTTGGATGTGTATAGTGATATGTGGTTGTCCACATTCACCGTGCAACAAAGTTTTGGAAGACGTGTCGCCAATTTTGCCGGTTAGCGGATATTAAACCTTTGTCTCATCCTGTCTAAGGATTCCTGGACGTCAGCCTTCCAGCTAAGAGTTCTTGTAAAACGAACTTCCAAGTAGAGAACTGAGTTCCTGAGAATAAGGTGGTCTCCTAAAAGTGATATCCAGCCCTGGTCATCGCGACAATAAGGAGATTTAAATAAAATTGCTTGGGTTTTGGAGGGATTTACGGTCACCCTTCATTTGTTGCACCACTTCACAACTCTGTCAAGGTATTCTTGCGATCTTTCGAATACAGACCGTCGCTCGCATTCTCTGTGGGAGCCTGAAGTGAGAATAGCCGTATCATTAGCGAAAAGGAGGAGAGACTCTGATCCTTGCTGTAGGCGGGGAATGTCACTATTGTAAACTGTATAGAGTAGTGGTGCAAGTATTAAGCCTTGGGGCACTCCAGCTTGTGGAATAAAGGGGGTGGAGAGATGGTCGGCTACTTTGATCCTGATCGTCCGATGAGAGAGATAGCAATTAATTAATTTAACGAAAGGTATTGGTAGTCCAGCAAGGTGGAGTTTTATAATCAGGCCTGATCAAACACCTTCTGGAGGTCGAGGAATATGCCTATGATGTGTTTCCTTTTGTTAATGGATTGTGAAATAAAAGTTGTTGCTTCAACCAATGCATTTTGTGTAGACTGTCCAGCCCTGAATCTGAATTGGTAATCTGGAATTAGGAAGTGAGCGTCTAGGAATTCTATGAGTCTCTCACTAAGGAGGGTCACCAATAAGTACTTTTTAATACTTTTAATAATTTTTTTGTCATACACGCATACAGGTAACTAAACTTCACTCTGATTTAAGTTGTTTGACTTTGTTAAAGATTCAAAGTTTTTATTTCATCTTTTTCTTCCCTCTTTAAGCCTCACAAGACCAAATGAATTTTCTGACATAGATGACTGTCATTAGACACATCTTTTATTGTGAGAGATATTTAGTTTGATTTATTTGTTTACTGCTAAGTATTTCATTAATGAATCCAGATAAAGAAATGCTGTTGAGTGCTTAAAATCAACATGTAAAACCACACAATCGTGACAACAAACTTAGAAAAAGTTTTATCTTCATTAACAACTATTGTGGATACAAATAATTTTTAATGAGCTTCTTTATTCTGGACATATTTTACAATACTCCATTTGCGGTTACACTTGGTTGTTTTCCATAGGAAGCTTGTGAAGATCTGAAATTAAATTTGACCATTTAGCACTTCTAATTTAAAATATAACCTCAAAAAAAACTTTTTCTTTAGTTCAAACTTTTTTTGAATGGGTAAATTTTCTAGGACATAGCCAAAAAAAGAACAAGAAGAAAAAGAACTTTTTTTGAAATATTTTCTTCAAATAACTTAGATCAAAGTAAAGTTGAGTTGTCTGTATGCGTGTATAACAAAAAAAGTAGAAGCAGAACCAAAGGAACAATTTAATAATTTTATTGTAAATTATTATTTTTGTTTATCATACATCACAATTTTTAATTTTGTTTAACTAATATCAACTTTTTAGTATTTTGGCGATAATACATTCATCAGAGCAATAATAAAGTTCGCAGAACTTTATACTCAGCACGTCAAGGAGGTATACTTTTACCAATTTTCGTATCACGGGAAACTAGGTCAAAACGACATATATATTCCAGGTAAATTTCATTAACAAAGTTTTTATTTACAAATAGCAGATAAACGCGACGTCTAAATCTTTGTTTTGCGCATTTTTAGGAATCGGAAGAGTGGCTCATGCTGAAGATCAATGGTACTTTTGGTGTTATTGGGATACCTATTCACAGTTCCCTACACCTGACATTATAACTATGCAGAGATACGTTGGGCTGTTAGCGAATTTTGTGAAATACCAGTAAGTGTTTAAGATATTTAATTAAAAACATTTATTGGGTATAGTTCTAGGAAAATTCTTGTTCTAGGCTCTAAAAGTGCTCTGAAAATATGTATTGATGGCCACATGTACTTATAAAAGTTTACGGTTCAATCTTAATTACTTAATCTAATTGTTTTTCATATCCGTATTGTTTTTTCTAGTCTCCTCACTAATACGAGGAAGTAGTTGGATAGTAAAATAAAATAAAAACACAAAAATTTTAATACATAATTTACAGAGACGGGCGAATTTGGCAACAGTTGTTTTGAAAATATGCATCTAGGAGTGGAAGAGATTCTGCGCAGGGCTGTATTTTCAAGACCTCGTACTGCAGAACCAGTCTTTCCCAACACCCAAAAATTTCACCACTCCTCGTTTAGGCTAATATTTAGATACGTGACGTGAATACTGTCGTTGTTTTTGAGATTTGAGGTTGTTTACGCTAACATGGGCAAATTTCTTAATTTTTTGGTTGCAGTTAGGTTTTCTTCTTTTTGAGGTAGCCATGTCTCTAGGGTAGGTAAAAAACTAAACAATAATTGGGGTTTGCTAAGTAAAAAATTTTTTTTATGCCATCCGTTTTCAAGATACAGGGCGTTAAAAAAATTTTACGCATTTTTTACGATTTTGCCGAAACTACAGGCAACATTGTAATGAAATTTTATACGAATATGTTTTGGAAGCTGATACATCCCATGAATTTGTTTTTATATCTGATTGTCATATAGGGCGCTAGTTACACGGATCGTACTAAATATTAGTCAATATAACTTTTTTAAGAGTATAATTATTAATCAAAATTTCAAGTAAACTCAAACATCATTCAATTTTACACGAAAAAGGTACTCTTGGTAAAACTTGATACTGTGTACCGTTTTCGAAATATTTTGATTTAAAAATTATGAAGTAATAATTGATGCTAGTAGTAATGATAAAGTTTTAATAGGTATACCTCCATTTTCTCCAAGTGTGCAATGGAAATCTGACATTTATTGATTGTTATGACGATAAATCAACAATAATTAGAGTTTTGAAACCTTGTTTTTTGTAAAATCAAATCAAAATGTACTCAAATGTTGAATACACTGACATGTTATTAACCTTAGGCGAATGTTTAGGATGTTCTAGTGCAGCTCTGACATGTGATGCAGAAAAGTTTCCTAGAAGAAACTTACCAAGTAAAAAACATTTAGAGCCATGAAAGACGTTGTCGAGAAACTGGGAATGTGAGACAAAATAAAATAAATTCTGGTAGACCAAGAACAACAAGAAAAATTAATAAAAAAAAATATTTTTAATCTACTTGATCAAGATCCAACAGTTAGCGTAACGAATATAGCAAGACAAACAAATACTTCTTCTTCAAGTACTTGACGGATACAGATTGAACAGCAACTATATCCTTATCATTACAGACAAGTCCAAGAGCTCTTGTCAGATAATCTACCGGATAGAGTGGATTTTTATGAAAGATTGCAACAAAGGACAGCCCACAATCCAAATTTTTTAAAATGAATTCTTTTTACGGACGAGGCCATCTTTACGCGACAAGGTATGTTTAACTCCCATAATGCACACTACTGGTGTGATGAGAATCCACGCATCAAAAGGGTACCACATTACCAACACTCATTTAAAGTTAATGTTTGGGCAGCAACTTTAGGTAACAAATTAATAGGTTATCATATTCTACCTGGAAATTTAAATGGTGATATGTATCTTGATTTTTTAAACAATTCCTTATTCGAGATATTAGAAGATTTAACGCTAAAGAGCGAAGATCTTAATTTTTTATGCACGATGGAGCTCCATCACACTTTGATAGAAGGTGTCGTAATTGGTTGAGTAATCATTTTCCGAATCGACGGATTGATAGAGGTGCAGAAGCTCCGATTCATTGGCCTCCTCGGTCATGCGATTTTAACTCTTTGGACTACGCAGTTTGGTCGTATATTAAGAAAAAAGTCTATGCTACAGAGGTAAATTCACACCAAGAATTGGAAGAAAGAATTCAACGTCAATTTAATGACATCATAGCTGATCCCCTACCTTTTAGTAGGTTAATGGAATCTTTTGAAAAAGAATACACTTGGTAATTCGCGAAAACGGAGGGCATTTTGAACACTTACTGTAATTGAATTTTATTTTATGTTCTTAGTCATTAATTTAATATTTTTCTTGTGAGTTTTGTTTCATTACTAACTATTTTATACCAGCATCAACTATTACTTCATAATTTTCAAATTAAAGTATTCCGAAAATGGTACACAGTATCGAGTTTTACCAAGAGTACCTTTTTCGTGTAAAATTGAATGATGTTTAAGTTTACTTGAAATTTTGATTAATAATTATACTCTTAAAAAGTTATATTGACTAATATTTAGTACGATCCGTGTAACTAGCGCTCTCTATGAGAATCAGATATAAAAACAAATTCATGGGATGCATTAGCTTCCAAAACATATTTGCATAAAATTTCATTAGAATGTTGCCAGTAATTTCAGCAAAATCGTAAAAAATGCGTAAAGTTTTTTTTCTTTAACGCCCTGTATCTTGAAAACGGATGGCGTTACAAAAATTTTTTACTTAGTAAACCCCAATTATTTTTCAGTTTTTTACCTACCCTAGAGACGGGGTTACCTTTCTTTGAAACACCCTGTGTATTTTATGTGTACTTGCCTTTTCAACTTTCGACCAAGCTCAATGAGCACAGATGAAATCTGAAATTTTTGGATCTTTGACTTCGATGGATTTCGAGAGCCGTTTTTGTCATTTTTTCTTCGTATAGCAGAAGTTTTGTTTTACTGTATAGCAAAAGTATTATAAAATATATTATTTATAGGATATTCATTGATAATTTAAGTAAGGATACATAGAGAACAGATCCTAATGTGGTTCGTGTCCTGTTGTAGTTAAGATCTGAGTTGTTTTTATTTCATGATCTTATCGTAGCTTGTTACTTTTCCTTATTCATTATATACATTTTGTGAACGAGGTCACGGAAAGACAAGACATTAGAGATGGAGAATGGCAGAGCAGAAAGGACTGGAGACGTTGGGTAGAAAGGAAAAAACTTCGAAAAAATGCAAGATATTTCTAGAAAACTTAAGTTACAGCCCCATCCAACTGGCGAAGCTTATAAACGAGCTAAAAAATGTTTTGATGCAACTTGTAAAAGCGAGAGAAAATCTATTAGAAAAAATATCAACTCTTTTAAATATATTGACCAAATAAATTTATATTTAGCAAACTTGGGTACCTTGGTTCCTGTTCAATGAAGAAGAGCTAGAAATGCGGAGAATGAGGCTGGTTTTCGAAATGGCACAGTCTGTTATCATGTGAAAATAAAACAGGACGACAGTGTGGAAAATGCCCATGTATGCAATAATGCTTTTATGTCATTTTTGGTACAACACGAGGGAAAGTTGATATTCTTGTAAATAAGCTCCTAGTGACTTACAAGGTTTTTAAAACAGGGAACAGCCTTAATCCGACCACAAAATTGATCATTTTCCATGTAAATCTCTATAAAAACTTAAATATCCAAGGGCTAAGGTATAAAGTAAAATAGTAAATTGATCGCAAAATCGTACAGCTCGAAAACGACTAGACGGATCATGAGGTATCAATGAAAAGTGTGGGGGCATAAGATTATTATAACAAACATGGCGTATGTAAAAAAGGCACTTTGATGTATTTTTATTTGCTCTTGTGGTATGATGTATCAAACGATTGGATTCTATGTATACAAAATATAAGGAAAAAACAAGACTACAGAGTGAGGTCAAAGTACGTAATGTCCAATTATTGGTATGATTATACATATATAAAGTTATTTTCCTGTGGTATCCAATCGCTATGCTATATTTATTGTTTTGTGTTTATTTTTTTTTCACGGAGCACAGTCTAAACATTAATTGCTCATTTTTAATTACCACCCTTGTTCCATTCGTTATAAATTACTTATTTAATATAAAATTGCCTTTTTAGTAATCCCACACCGGTGGCTCAGCCAATATTTGACAATGTTATATGGCCAGAAATTAGAAGTCACTATTTTGCCTATTTGGACATTGACACGAAATTGAGTATCCGATATAATCCAAGAAATTTTTCTTACAATGCTTGGGTTGGCTTTTACGACAAATACGCTAAGAAACCGTTCATATCGTATTAAAATGTGTATTTTAATAATATTAAAATAAAAGTTGCTGATAATTGATTAGATAACTAAGTTATTTTATTTTCCTTTTTCCTGTTGACCATTTATATTTATTCATCATTTATAGCCATATTCTAATCATCTATATTTCTAAAAAAAATCGATATAGTTACTATAATTTTAATTAATTTTAGACCATAGAGTTGTTGGGTTTAATTTTTATTTTTCCGTCGACCGGCCATTTAAGGTAAATTTTAACACCTTCAAAATCATTGATTTATGACCCCTATTAATAAACGATTTCATTATAGGAAACCCAACATACATTGCTTGCATAAATTAATTAAACGCTTTGTTATTGGCAGTGACCTGTGGTGTAGGCAAACATATCCTTATTTATATTCGCCATGGACGTATAAACATAGATGGACACAGCAATAAGATACCTTTAACACACAATGTTTTGAAGCTTCGATAGAATGTGATGCTTCCGCAATGAGCATAAGCGTGCTTGAATTATTACTCGCGCGTAATTATTCAGATTTTAAAAATTGAAAGTAGTAATAATGTATAAAAACACGTTCAAAGAATTTAAAAAAACGAGAGTTTAACTATTAACAAATCACGTCTTTATAGAAAAATTAAAAAATAATTTTATTTGCTTTAAAATTAATACAATAAAATATAGTTGAATTCAAGTTAATTTTTAATAGGTATCAAAATATTGCTACAATAAAAAATCTTTATGTTTTTTCCTAAATTTGCTATCAAAATAGTTCGATCGTCAATATTATTTGGAAACTTAAATAGTTTCCATAGAAAAATAAATGAGATTTATTCATTTCACTAATTTATTTGCATCCATGAGAAATATTAAATTAAAAAGGTACTAATACTAATAGATCTTTTTTAATCAGATGATGTCTACTTACAATTTAAAAATGTCTACTAATTTCATGAACTTATATCTTATTTAATACATTATTGAACATGAATAAACCCAATGGCACGCCTATTAAAATGTAAACAAACACGCTTCCTCATTTCCTCATCTTAAATAATGTAAATTTTATGTACTTACAAATGAAATGAGAGATCGGGATGTAAATATTTCGTTTATTTTATTTCACTATTTACAAATATCACTCAAAATACAGCCAAAATATCGAAAAACAACATTTACTAAAAAGTAAACAAACATGGAACAGCATTTGAAGTTTGACGTAGATCCATAAGACAGAGAAATGTAAACAACCGTTGCCATTTATAAATAGTTTTCAGTGCTTCTACATATAAAATAATTGATTGATGTCTAAATTATACGTTATTATCAAATGATAATGCACACTATGTGCACACTTTATATTTTGATTACAATTAAATATATTAATCTAACCAATAAATTATTATTTTGGTTTGATACCACCTGTAGAGTATAAAATACGGACTAATATTTTCAACGACTCGCGAATAAGAAATTTTAAAACAAAACGTGACAACAGCTGAAGGTGCTGAGAATGTGACCTATTCAAATAATTTTGACTTCACAATTTTATGTAAATAACTAAGTCCATCTGTGTTTATACGTCCATGATATTCGCACTAAAAAATTTAAAATGAAGTAGCTGCTGTTAGTACTATCTGTCATTGTATGTCATTATTTACTTTGTTGTTTAAAGTTCTGTGTATTTGAATAATCAAAAGATGGATATTGACGAAGAGTTTAATTTAACTCCACCAGAAGTAGCAGAAACTGCAAATGAAATATCTTTAAGTTTAGTGTCTGAAAAAAGCAGAGTGTTGTCCGAAAAAACATATGCTGAATTTATTGCATGGTGTGACGACAGACAAATAATATGGTCTATTTCTTCGAGTTAGAATCTGTGGAGAAGTTATGAGCATAATAACGTGTGTATTTAAAACGGCGTCAGAAGGTGTGGCTAACGATCATACCAATATGAAGGTGGGATCAGGGCCAGACTCAATAATATTAAAACTACTATACAAATATAACTAGTTATTCAGAAGATTTAATCATAATCTAAACAGGTGCAATACATTTTTAATAAACTATGATTTATTTATTTATTCAGCGGTAAATACTAAAAAAACTATATTATACATAAATCTAAATTAATACAGTCAAATAACAAATTGTATCTGAAAGAGATAGAATAGAATAGAAATATGCTTTATTGTCACTAAAAATTATTGAACAATTTTATGGACAAAGCTAAAAAAAATCAGTCAAAAAGTACAAAAAAGTATAAAACAAAAACAAATATAATAAAAAAACAGAATAATACAATTTTAAATTAGTAAAATTATTGTATAACTTACATAATTTGTACAGACAACAACAAATGAAACTGTAGCCACTACTTGAGACACCCAAATGTAATTATAAACAATATACTAATTTTGTTTCTTCGTTATACACTAAGAAACTCAGTCAACTGAATAATATGGTCTTTCAGACAGATAGATTTTTGTCATCTTACAAAACTTAATGAAAGATGTTGCGGATTTAATTTCTCTTGGAAGGTGAGTATATAGTTTTTTTGCACTATATAGAATAGAATTCTTAACTTGCTGAGTGGAGGGGATTGGTAAATAAACGTTACAATCCAAATTTCTAATGGAGTAGCCATGATCAGGTCTATCGGGAAAAATGTTTCCCAAATAAATAAAGAGGGAAGCGACAAAATTCCGTGATTTTTGAAATAGATCTTGCAATGAGTTGTTTGTTTGAGACCAAATATATAACAAATTGATCTTTTTTGCAACTTAAAAATAGTATCAAATTGGGCCGCTGTACTAGAACCAGAAAATGGAAGCCCATATCGAAGATGGGACTCGAACAATGAGAAATATGCCATTTTGACAGAAGATAAATTTAGTTCCTTAGAAACTGATCTTATTGCAAAGCAAGCTGAGGCTAGTTTCTTCCTTAAGGAGTAAGTATGCAAGGACCATTTAAGATCACTGTCGATAAGAGTACCTAGAAATTTCACGGAATTAACGATACTGATTTGGCTCTCATTCAAAACAAGGGTTGAATGACTCCTTTATCAGATAATGCTACTATATATAATAATATATACTAGATAATAATATAAATAATATTTTAAAGGGCACAATGAATAATGACTAAAAAATTACGGGCCATTACTTTGTCTACATATTTGTATACTAACCTGTGGAACGTTTTTTTTAATAAAACAATTTCTTTATATAACACATCAATTATTTAATAATGATATTGAAATCTAAGAATTTTTACAAATGGTCTAGAAAAGGTAAGTTGGATTCATTCGATATAATCTAATTGTTCTTACTGGTGGAGGTCTTCTAATTTTTCTCCCATGACAGCCCTTCTTTCTCTGCCACAAACCAGATCGTGGTCTATGCCCAATTCTCTATTTTTTCCAGCAGATCCAATGGAAGTACTACCATGCTCTACACTACTCAGCCTTCCAACAGTACACATGTGCTGTGCTGGTAAACTAAACTCCTTCTTTAAAGGCATCATGATTTTTTTATAGCCCTTTTTCTATCCGAATTGTCGAATAAAGGCCTCTCCCATTTCTCGCCATTTATCCCTGTTGTATGCTAGGCGTTTTCACATTGGTCTTGCGACGCTTTTGATATCGTCGCTCTAGCGCATTTGAGGTCTTTCTCTTGGTCTCTTCGCATCGTACGGTCGCCAGTTTCCGACTTCTTTGTTGCATCTACCATCTTCGAGACGTTTGTTGTGTCCACCCCATTTCCATTTTAATTTAGCTGCTTGTTTCGCGGCGTCCTTTATTTTTGTTTTGTTCCGGATTGCTTCGTTCGTTTCCCGATCTATTAGTGAGATACCAAGCATCTGTCGTTCCATGGCTCGCTGAGTTTTTCGATTCTTGTCCATGTTCTTTTTTGTGAATGTCCAGGTTTGAGCTCCGTAAGTGAAAACGGGAAAGATACAAGAATCGAACACTTTGGTTCGAAGGTTTTGGGGTATCTTTTTGTCTTTCAGTATGTATGAGAGTTTTCCAAATGCGGCCCATCCCATTCTTACTCGTCTGCTTATTTCGTTAGCTTGGTTTTCTTTGTTTACCTTGATATTCTGACCCAGATATATGTATTCTTCTACATGTTCCACTTTTGTTACTTGGATGGTTATCGTCGGTTGATCATCTTTATTCGACATTAGTTTAGTTTTACTCAGATTCATTTTCAGTCCTTTTTTATGGATTCCGTATGAAGCTCATCGATCGTCGTCTTCAGTTCTTTCCAGCTGTCAGCTATTAGTACTACGTCATCTACATATCTTGCACATGGTTTAAATACTTTCCTTTTATCGATAGTCCCTTCGTTTCCCAATTTAGTGATTTAAAGATGTCTTCAAGTGCGGCAGTAAATAGTTTTGGAGATATGGTGTCTCCCTGTCTTAATCCTCGGTTGATTTTTATTGGCCTCGTTTTCATTCCGTTATCCATCGTGACTACCATTTCAGTGTGTTGATATATATTATGTATTACCTAATATCCTATATCTAGAATCTATTCTGCTGTTGACCAGTGCTTCCTCAATAGCCCATAATTCTATGATGTCAAAAGCTTTCTCGTAGTCTATAAATGCTATAAACAGATTGGTAAATTGTATTCGTTAACTTTTTCTATTAGAACCTTTAGTGTGTGAAGATGGTCACATGTACTGAACCCTTTTCTAAATCCGGCTTGCTCTACTGGTTGATAAACATCAAACTTTGTTGTCAATCTATTTGTAATTATTTTTGTGAATGTTTTATTAGTTGTGATAGTAGTGATATTAGACGATAATTTTTCAGATCTGTATTGTCCCCTTTTTTGTGTATTAATGTTGTGTTAGCAGTATTCCATTCCTTTGGTATGTTTCCTTCAAATAGTCATTTATTAAAAAGTATTTTTAGGTACCTGATGACTTCTTCTCCGCCTTCTTTTAAAATTTCTGCCAGAATTCCATCACTACCCGGTGCTTTATTTTTTTTTTATTTCTTTAATTGCATTTTCTATTTCTACTTCGCTTATTTCGGGCATTACTTCAG